AGGTAGATAGAATGATAGAATGCATACTCTTCTCTTCAATTGAATCTCTACATTGAAGACGTTTTCGGTACTGATCGATCGCGTCTCCCAGCAGAAGTGAGAAGTATCAAAACCCACCTGCTTGTTCTTGAACTGAATCAACGTATCGTCATTCTTCACGATCTCGTAACCAAGATTCTCCGACTTTGGGAAGATCTTCTCCAATCCTACCCATTGTCCGGCCATCTTGTAACGATCTAATCATCAGCAATGATCAATCATCCCCAGGCCACCTTAGCTGGGGTGCTTTGGGGGAACAATCTGGGTGAGAGGAGAAGAGGCGCTAGACGTACCATTGGCATAAACGAATTGATCGTCATATACGCAAGCTGAACATCAGCCCTCTCTCGACCCTCCGTTAGTATATTCCATTCTCCCACCGGTCAAGACTTGAATTCATTTTTCCCCCGTCATGAAGGAGCCAGCAAGGCTGAATAATAGTTGAAATGTCATGGGAGAGTAGGTGAAAGGGATTTGGAGGATACAAATTTTCGTCCCGGTAAAAGAGAAACCCACAACTCACCAGGAGCATACCTAGCTATCCTCTCTACAGTCCATTGACAACTATACAAAGCGATCACATCATCTATCAATTTTTGTCGATTAGGAGGAAGTGGAATACTTTTACTAGGATCAGGTTCCATATCCTCCGTAGGGAGAGTTTGACGAGGTTCAACTTGTTCACCTGGTATACCTGATGCTGCTTCTCGGGTACGGAGGATGATCTCTGGGATTTGGTCTGACATTTTGCTGGTTATGTTGTCTTCTCTTTCAAGTAAATTGAGGGAAGAGACGAGGATGGTTCGTTTACCGGTGTAGTACTTCTCTTGAGAGTATAAGAAGTGGGGATAGGGAGTGACGTGTGGCAGAGAGCAGAACGGTTTGAGATGGAAGAGGTTCAGTTGATGGGCATTTGTTGAAGGGGATGTGAGGAGGGGTCGGGGTTACATGACGTATGATATGTGTTATGGATGTTGGAGATCGGGCACGAGAGACTTTCCGGATGGTATGACGAACTTCTCGAGCCCGAGGTACCCCGAAGGCCGAAGTGGTGACGTCTAGGACCAAGGCGATGACGATCGGAGTGTCAAGATCGACACTATGAAGGTTATACGTCACCCTCTCTCTCACTTCTTCCTATTTCCCTACCCCTGTGTCTTCCAGTGGCCAGTGGCCAGTGGCCAGTGGCCCGTAATCCGTGGGGTGATTTTGTGCGCGTACAGTGAGGCAGCTCTCGTATCTAACCCATGTCAAATGATTAGTGCTCCGAACTTCGGTAAAGTATACACGATGTCAACATCTCTGTCTTCCTCACAGACATTAGATAGACTGCATTTAAACCTCAGGTATACATCCCCGACACTTCTTTCTCCACCTTTCCAATCTTCTTTCCATCTCCCATACCTGGTGCTGACCAAAGTTCATCGTCTTCTTCTTCCCATTGTCCTTTATTGCGTCTCACCAGATCGGCCAGATGCGGTATGAGGGCTTGGAGTGAATCGGCTAGGTTTGAAGGTCCAAGGGAGGAAAGAGGGAGGGGAAGTAGAAGAGTCGTAACGTTTTCGACCGGGAATGCGGGATGTATGGCCTGAATTATCAAACTCTGACTTTTCACTGGTACCATCTCTGACTCCCGGTTGCTTCCTCGACCACACACCTATCGCCCACTCTTTCTCTGAGTTGAAAGTCCAGCCTTGACCATACTGGTCTTGGAACACCATATGCGACCCACTTGCACCACGATATGTGATCCCATTCGAAAGGGGAAGTCTGTGTGAAGGAACGAAGATGATGCGTCTTGGGGCGTTTCCTTCCACAGATCGAATGAAAGGTCCGACTCACAGCTGATAAGAAAGCAGCCGCCAACCCCGTCAAATGATTAGGAGTCTCATAACCATATTTTCCATCTGGTACTCCTTTTTCAACAGATGAAATCACCCTTATTGGTGGATCTTGAGGTAATCTTTTACCACCTATAGGAACATACATGACGGGAGAATACGTTGTCAACACAGTCCTATGCCATTCAGCTCATTCATTTCTAAAACACATAGAGATACTCACCATTTAGCATCAGGAAACATACCAATGAGTTTCTCCGTCATCATATGTGCCATCCTCGGTTCGAGATCATCTTCCATCATGACCACCATGGTCTCCTTCATGTCTATCCCTCTTCCGATAGGATCACCATTGTGGAGAAATCTTAGATTTGTAGCAGGAGAGTTTTGAGGAGGAAGATGACGTAGAAGATACCGACCAGCTTGAGATATAGCTAGTACGAGTTCTGAAGGAGTGGATGAAGGGTTAGAGGTGACTGAAAGTGTTGGAGGTGGTGGAGTTGTAGGAGAATGAGGTAATTCATCATCGGAAGAATCGGATTCGAGGAGGTATCGAGGAGGCGGAGCGTCGAGAGAAGAGAAAGGGTCATTCATTCTTGATAAGACTGCTCTCTTAAAGACGACCTTGGGTGTATTTTGGTGAGTACGACCTTGTAGCTTGTACTCTGCAGTCGAGTAGAAAAGTTTAAAAGTGAGGAATGTTGAGGTGGACGCGCAATCGTTTTCGATCGTCATTGGGAAAACCGACGCGGAGCCCCACAGATTCTGGGTCAGAGGTGAAACACGGAATCAAACATTTCCACATTTCCTCTCAGTTTTCACCAAAGTTTGGGGTAAGATCACTAGTGCTGCTACTCTAGCTGCTAGCTGCTGTGACTGGAAACAAGATGCCCCGAGTGAGACCGGCGACATTAGGCGCTGTCAGACCGTCAGAAGGGAAGAAGATCAATTTCGACGATGATGAAGATGACTACGTGCCATTGGTACGTTCAGCCCGGCGAGATGAGGTTGGGGTTGTCGAAGCTGCGGACGGGGATTGGGATGAGGATGGAGATGAAGATGAGGCTCCGGAGACAGTTACAGTGGGTGCTTCGAGGGTTGCGAGACTCGAAGCGGAAGCAAGGGAGCGAGAGTGGGTTTTTAATTTCTCATCTTCTTGTGGAAAATGACTTCGCCCCTCTCTGGAGATGAAGAGGAAGACAACGAGCTGATAATAGATCCGCTCAAAAACGTCGTCAAGCTGCACGTGCTCGATCGGAGAAGATCGCAGAGATGAAGTCGAAAAAGTCACTGAAGCGGGGTACACAGGCAAAGAGTCGCCAGACTAAACGGCCAAGATCCCCGTCATCAGACGAGGAGGAAGTAGAGGAAGAGGGAGACAGCGAAGGAGAAGGGGAGGATGACGCTACCAGAAGATTGAGACGGAGGATGGAAGCTGCCATGGCGGATGGCGCGAGTGAGTCGGAGGGCGATTCGTCCGTTCAGAGATCTGAGGAGAGCGATTCTGGAGATGTGTCTGGAGATGAGAGCGTAGATGAAGGGTCAGATGAAGATATTGACGATGATGAAGATGGGGAAGGACGGACTGAGAATGACGACGATGAGGATGAAGACGAAGATGAGGGAGATCTGGAGGATGGAGATAGTGATGGTGAAGATGATGATGACGACGATGATTACTCGGAAACACTCGAGGAGCCTACAACAGACGCCGAGCGACAATTACACGAACGAATGCAAGCTGCTATGGAGGCTGCGGAAGCTCGGGCTGGTCTATCCGTCCAAAAAGGTCCAGCGCCATCCTCGTCCAAAACACCCAAATCGGCTCTCAAAACTACAACTGCGTCCAATACACAGCTGGAGTCTGAACAAGTCGAAGAGACCTTCGACCTCACCCCTTATCACCCCACCGCCAAGCCTTTACCGCAGAGTGTCATCGAAGCTGCTGCTCGTGCTCATGCGATAAAAGCTGCGACAGAGGCCCAGAAGAAAGTCGTGCATGTGGATATGGTGAAGAAGAAGAAACGAAGAATAGAGCCAGAAACAATAAAAGTCATCTCGTCAGTTATCCTCACGATACTTGTTTTGTTTCAAAGGTGTCAAGGTGTGGCTGATCATAACAGAGAAAACAAAACATTATTCCTTCTCCCCCCTACCCTCGGTCGTCAAGATGACATCCCACCTGTCATCGGACCCGGTCAGACAGGGAGAGGTGCCAATGCGAGGAAAGCTTTCGTCAGAGCTGCGATGAGCCAATCTGGTCGTGTTCCGCAGAAGGGATTGGTGGATGGAAGACGTAAAGTCCGTGTTGGTCCGACGAGGTGATGGCGGATAAGGGAGTGGTATGACGATGGGTTGGAGTGTGGGAATTGATACGATCGGACGTCTTAGGCGTTTACGATGTGAAAGTATGGAAGGGTGAAAAAGAACATGTCCGTCATGACATGCTTGATATGAATGTTTTACCCCTGGCCCCTGGAGGAGTACCTCGGTGGATCGGTGTGCCCTGGGAGGATGAGACCTGACCCTGGTTTTCTTGACCCTGAAAGAAGAACTGTGTCAGGGGAAGGTGGGTTCTATGCGCGTCTCGAGTGAAGAATCTGAATGCTTTCGAATCCAACGCAGTTATGTAGTGGAGTGAGGGTGGAGCAGTTGCTGTGTATGCATTCCAGTAATGATTGAAGGAAGAGGAATCCAGTGTGAGCTTTGACATTGAAAAGTGATGAATTGTTTTCAAAAGGGGTCCGTGTGAGAAAAATCCGTTGTACGTTGTGGAAAAACAAGGAAAATAAAGAAAAACTCTACTTTGACGCCACCGACAGATTAGACTTTTACGACAACGTTTCCCCTTCTTTTCCTTATCCCACATTAGCACCCGTCTTTTCACCCGTACTTCTTACTCAAGCTACTTACATACATACTACCATCTTTATCCCACCAATCTCTCCCCTTTCATTCTGACTGTATCCTATCTGTTCAAGTAGCCAAAGACGACGGTGGTCGAGGGAGAAACGAACGCGAGTCTTTGAGTAGTAGGTAGTAGGCAGTGGACATTGTGGGGGTCGTGAGACGCGTCGCGGAAGGAACAAAGGATCTTTTTTTGAAATCACTACTCACACTCACTCGCACTTCTTCTGTCTCAAACCCACCCAATACAACATTCAACATCCCTCCCGTTCAAGGAAGGGGCTGGTAAAGGGCCCCATTCATAACCTCCCATCCCATCTCTCTTCCTCTCTCTCTCCCTCATTAAATCACACACCTCTTGCCTTTCCTTCAATAATCGTTACCATAATTCGTTTCAGTCCATCACTTAGACCAAAGATTGGTTGGATCATCAAACCACGCACCGACCAAGAAACGCCAACAACAGCTCAAACCATTGTTAAAGAAACGACATGTTGATGATATCTGAACCTCAGACTTCGATATTGTCAGACCGTTCTTCTTCACCGCATCCAAAGGTGGTTTCCACATCAATTGCCACCCTTCAACCTATCATGCATGACAACGGTTCGACATCAACAATACCTCGTTTAGGTACAGGAGGAAGTTTTGACATGAGTATGTCACAAATGTCAAGTGGTTCAACAATGACAATGACAATACCCACTGGTCAGGCCAAGGCCACAGGGGATAGTTTACCTAATTTAGGTGATGTGGATGCGAAATGCGGAGGTTGCGAACAGATCATAGATCAAGATAGTGGTGGGGTTGTCGTTGCTTTTGGGTGAGTGGTTTCTTCCTATCTTCTCAACTTCCTTATTCACCCACTCCACTTCGCCGCTCTTCAGTTTGTCATGTTTACTCCTATATTGTCATCTTTGACTCTATTTAAAGAATGTCACCTAACTCCCTTTCGAAAGTCACTTCTTTCAATCTTCTCACACACACCTTCCTTAGTCCTCTTATGTAGTATCGATTGTTCACACTGACCTATAGATCCGCCCTTTGGCATGTGGATTGCTTTCGTTGTGCCAAATGTAAAGAACGCGTATCAGCAGATACAAATCTCCTCTTACTTTCTGATGGTAGTCCAGTATGTGGGAATTGTTCATACCAGGTACGTCTATTATGTCCTCGAGAATACCGTCTGACATGGCTAATGGAACAGTGTTACGTTTGCAAGCAGGCAATAACAGAAGAGGCTATCATGACTGGGGATGAGTCATATCATGCTCATTGTTTCACTTGTAGGACGTGTAAACGGAGGATCGAGGAGTTGGTCTTTGCAAAGACTAGTCAGGGGATTTATTGTATGGTGAGTGGTCATATATCGCCCCTCCTTCATCCTTCTCTTATCTCACCTCTCTTTTGACTCATCCGTCCTCCATCTTCCTCCTCTTCCATGTCACCTATGCCCCTGACGAGGCAAGGCGAAACGCTGGAGCATCGCTCACACCCAGGCATGCCACAATGAGCGAGTGGCAAGGAGTAGACGACATGCAGAAGCAAAACGACAACGAGCGGCGAGAAAGAACGGAGAGAAGAAAGAAAGTCGACACGAAGACAAGAAAGATCGCGAAAGAGATCTTCGAGCCAACGATAGTCGATCAGATTTCTCTCCAATACCATCAGCCTCAAGTTATCTGACATCGCCCAGTATGCTTCCCCTGGCACAAGCCTCACCCCTCGTATCTCCCCAACCCACACCGTCGGTCACTTCGAGCGATCTTCAGACTCCAGCCGGTTCACACGTCAGTGGACTCGCGAATGTCAGTGAAAGTTTCGAGTCAGAACTTCGTGCTAGATCTCTCAGTATCGATCAACTGGCTCCAAGATCTATATCTCCCGCTGGGCGTCCAGGTATGAGCAACGACGCTCCTCCTCTCTCACCCACCGAAGGTGTTTCACATACCAGAGCAAGGACAGAAAGCTCTGTGGAAAGAAATGCACAGAACAGACCATCTTCAACTGTTCCTACCAAGAATCAATCCACTTCCCAGTCAAATATTTCTCAACGGCCTCTCTCCCCGCCCATCACTACTCGTAATGCCAACCTTGGCTTGGGTGTAGGTCCAGTTAGCGTCAACGGTCTTAATGTACCCACCAGTAAAGCGGACAAACGTAGGTCTATCAACCCAGCAATGACATTCAACATGGACGCGGCCAATTCGACATTCGCAGTTGAAGCTCGTCCTCTTCCCCCATCTCCCCTTCGAGCATCTTTCACAGATCTGCATCATCCAGAATTACCTCTTCCTTCTCCGACATCTCCATCACCTTTACACGGTGGTGGGACTAGCTTTCCTTTTGCTCGACCACCATCTGCTGCGTCAAATGGGTCCAAACCCGAACACCCACCAAGGTCAAGTTCGGCGAACGGTCACGAGGCAGCTCAGGGGTCTCGACTGGAACCCTCTATCAGGTCGGAAGGGAGAAGATCGAGCGAGGAGGATGCACCCCTCGTTCCTCCAAAAGACAAGGCGGACAAGTTGGAGAAAGTTGACTCGGCATCTACACAAAATGCAGACAAAGGTCGACCAACCTTACCACCCAACCTTCCTCCAATGTCATTCTCCTTATCTGACCCAGACTTCGCTCTGATACTCAATGGAATCAATCAATCTCCCGCCAAAATCTTACCGAAATCGGCAGATTCTGCAGAAACGGCCAGGCCATCTCTGGAGCAAACTGTGGGGACGATACCGAATGGTGGAACTGCTTCCCCACCCGAATCACCCCTCCGAGAATCATCCTCCAGGAGTCAACAAAATCTATTGACGGCTCGAAACGGTCCTGTCAACGCAGAAGCTGGCGGATCAAGATCGAGATCACCAAGTAGATCAAGATTATCGCCAAACGACTCAGTGTCCCCGAAATATCTTCGGACACGTCAACCTAGTGCAGAGTCTACCATGTCTATCAGTTCGAGATTAGGCCCGGAGAGCTCGTTCTCGACTCTCGCAGAGGTGTTGGCGAGTGCGAAACATAATGGTCAAGAGACAGTACATATGGATGTGACGGTTTTGACGGCTATGTTGAATGAGGCGGAAGAGTTGAAAGAGAAGATAGCGGCTTTGAATAGGAAATACACTGGGGCTAAGGTGGGTCTATTCTTTCCCATCTTGTTCTCGCATTTCCTCTCTCCCCCCACCCTTCATCGCTGTTGTCGGATCTGTTCTTAAGCCTATTCGTCCCTCTTACTTGTATCTCGATGTATGGGGTACCACATGAGGGGAATAAGGGGCCGACATCAGGGGTGTTCTTGGGCACTTGTGGTTTACGGGTACATGTCGACAACCATGAACCGGACTGACGGATAGCGCACGAGCCAACAATACAGCGAAGGACTCACAGTCGCCGGAGAGGAATACGACAAAGAGGTTGTTCTCCGTCGTGAGCTCGAAGCGGAGATCTCTCGACTCCGGGCTCAAGTCCATAGCCAAACGGCTAGATTGTCGGTGATATCTGGTGATGAAAGACGACAGGAGAATATGCGACGGAGGAGTAATGATTTGGCGAATAACTTGACTGGTTTGGAGAGGGATATCTCGAGGTTGAGAGCTCAGAGGGATATGACTTTGGCTGAAGTTGAGGAATTGCATGCGAAGCGGAAGAGGTGAGCACAATTGTTCTCAGCTCTACCACTTTTTCACCTTCATCAAGTCTATCCTCTGTTCCAGAACCCGTCGGTTTACTGTGTATCCTGATGATCCTCACGTATGACACTCCCTCTCACCCGCGTGTTCAAGACATCGAATTGCCCTGACACTCAGTCTCGATGTCCCGAACGAAGATGCCGCATCCCTACTTGGCCAATCCCTCACTCATCGACTGGACACCATCAAAGAAGCTTATCGAGAAGAACTAGAACCTCTCACTGCGCAACGAGAAGCTCTCTTACGTGAAATCGCCGAACTTCGCGAGTCACGAGAACAATTCCTGGAAGAGTCCGCCGCTCTTTCAGCTAAAAATGAAGAATTAGCAGAATTGAACGCTTCTTTAACCCGTCAAGCAGATGTTTTACAAGATACAATCATCCGACAACGTCCCACCATCTTTTCTAAATCCTCACGAGGAGGTTTAGGTCATCCTGCCGCATCACCAAGTATGTCTAGTCTCACCACTGCTGCGTCTACGTTACATGAAGTACCTGAAGAAACTGCTAGAGTCGTCAAAGCTTCTAAACCGGAAAGTATAGAAGCTGTACCGGCTAGAAGGTTTAAATGGTACGGTTATAAATCTTCTAAAGGACCAGAAGCTAGTTCTGCAAGTGCTAGTATAAGTAAACCGATATTGTTGAAAAATGGGAATACTCAGAGACCTAGTACAGAATTTGGAATGAGGGATCATCAATTTAGTCAACATTCCACCATGAGGTTTACTAAATGTGAGGTATGTGGGGAGAAGATGTGGGGTTTACAAGAGGTTAAATGTCAACGTGAGTCACTCAATTATTTCTCACTCTATCCAACCAGTTCTCTTTTTCTCTCTGTCTGGTTTTCTGTCTTTTTGATTATCTTACATTATATTCCCGAGTACATTGTCAGTTCTTCAAAGTGCGTTCACTGACTGCAGTTTGCGGAGTCATATGTCATTCGAAATGTGGCGAAAAACTTCCTCGGTCTTGTCCCGGCATACGTCCAGCACAAGATAATGATGGTCCTATCCGTAAGTCATCTATTTGAGAAGTTTCAGCAAAAGCTCATGTCAGCTCCGTCAATGTTCGGTAGAGACCTCATTGAGCAGGTCCAAACGGACAAGACGACAGTCCCTGTGTTAGTGACCAAATGTATTGAGGCTGTCGAAGCTGTCGGTGAGTGATCGTCCCTCTCATATCCTCTCAAATTTTACTCGGCTTTATCTCAACGGTTTCTCATATTCGACCACTTTGACCACATCCTGGCTCTTTGCACCCAACAAACAGCCACGTTGTGCTTCGCTTCGGTCGCATTTGATTACGGTTCACCAGACACTGTTCATTCACTGACACCAAGGCATGGAGTACGAAGGTATCTACCGGAAAACAGGCGGATCATCACAATCGAAACAAATAACAGTTTTATTCGAAAGAGGTGATTATGACGCTTTTGATCTTGCCGATGTGGAAGCTTTCAACGATGTTTCAAGTATCACAAGTGTGCTGAAAACGTATTTCCGCTCGTTACCGAATCCACTTTTGACACATGATCTACATGAAAGTTTCGTTGCTGCTGCTAGTGAGTTTTGTTCCTTTCTCATTTTCACTTCTTCATGGCATTGAACATGCTGGTCATTAGAGGTATTTGTGATGTTCCCTACTTCATATTCAGACTGTCCCCTCGGTCAAAACCCCTTTGAGGCACATCCCTCCGTCCCCTTCCCCCGGGGATCGTCCTGGTGTTGGCAGGATCCACACTCGCTCCTTGTTTGTTTCAGGACTTTTGTCCTGGCATGATGAGTCATCTGGACGAGCCTGCGATGATGGAGGTTCTGTGACGGGCCCCAATGAGGATGTCGCTGACGTTTAGCAATCCGTGACTCTCACAACAAACATGGTGCCCTCTGCGCGTTACTCAAGGAACTACCAAAGGAACACTATGCCACGCTCAAGACTCTCATGTTACATCTTAACAGAGTGACGAGTTATGCGAATGTGAATTTGATGACCAGTCAGAATCTCGGTGTGGTCTTTGGTCGTGAGTGTCTTCTCTCCTAGTCGATCATGTGATTTTCTATTCCACTAGTTTCTCCTTCATTTTCGTTTCTTCGCGCATGTTTCTCTCGTCGGGCTCTTCTTCCCCCTATCCCCTAGCGACTCATGTGCGTCAGAAGTAGAGGAGTTTTCGTGTCGCTTCTTCCTTCTCTCATCCGAACTTATGCTGATAGAAAGCCACGCTCATGCGTTCATCCGACCCCACACGAGAATTTGGCGATATGGCCGGCAAAGCTTTATCTGTACAATGGATGATCGACAATGCTCCTCAGGTCTTTACGGAGGCTTGATCGCTCGCTCAATTCGTCTCATTTGATGAAGACATATCTCATACAACTCATCAGACCCATGGGTCTATACAAAACTCCCTTCAGACGGGAAACTGGTGTTAGGAACGATAGGAAGATGGAACAGGACAGTTGGTGATCGTGGGTATTTGGGTATACATATACCCTATGAGGAGAAAGAACAAGTATGTAAATTGGTACGAAACATTACCTGGATATCTAAGATCTTGTATTTGATACCTTGGGAAATGCACCAAATGTCTAGAGTCGTGACGAGCTCTCACCCATAGGTGCAAAGTGTGGGACAAGGGTAGTACATAGGGGTTGGAGTAAGGGGGGGATGCTGTGTTGATCATCTCTCCTTGCACTGGGTCCTTTGGTGTTTGATGCGTCGTCGTTTGACGGCCTCTTGGCCTTTGGGCGTCTACATACGTATTCCATAGCTGTGCATCATGCGACTTGCACCATCATCACCTCATGTACGGAATGTAGAATAGAGTGGTAGTTTTCTCTACTCTACTTGCTACTCGGCTTTTTAAAGATGTATCTCATCGTAAGTTATCTCAAAACGACATTTCTCCATACATCATATTCGTACCAAGGTCGCGCATTACTTGTCCTTCTTCCTCTAAGTTACGTCATATGTGTAGCTAGTGAATATGATTGGTTGAGGAAGAAGGATGAACCATGTACTGACTGACATTCAGTCCAAACGAAATCCAAACGACCTCGACGTACTCAACGTTGATCTAGACCAATCGAACAATTTCCCAAACCCACCTCCGGCATTCATAAAGATACTCGCTATAGTATTCGGTACATTCGGTGGATTAGTCCTACTCAGTGTTCTTGCGGTGATATACAGAAGATATTCATGGGATAAACATTTCAAACGATTAACTCGTGCTGATGGTTTACCGGAATTGAGAAGAGGTGATAGAGTCGATATGGTGGAATTTGAAATTGAACCTTTTCCTCATCATCAAGTATCACAAACTCCACTTTTACCACGATATATTCCGATTGATAATAATAATCATTTCTCCAATACCACTGGGAATGTTGGGGATGTTAGTCATTCACAAGAATTTCAACCTCCTAATGAACCTTATATCAACGTCAATAATCGGATTCGTCATACTGGGATTGAGAACCAAGTTGATCGGACGAGACAAGAGGGATATGATAGAAGAGATGTTGAGGATGGTTCAGGGAGACAAATGGATTCTCATCTTCAAGAAAGAGATATAGGAGATGGACCTTCCATGGGACACGCGATGGGTGGGAGGGGAACAACAGGATCAGGAAGTAATTCGAGGATCAGGGATGGATCTGGGGCAAGGGATAATAGAGGTGGTGGAGGAGGAGGAAAAGGGAAATGGTTGTTCAGACCGAGTAATAGAAATCATGCTGAACCCGAGAGAAGGAATGTAGAGGACGAGAGGGAAGATGGATCGTTAGGTTCACCACCTGGATATGAGCAAGTCATGGGGAGATGAACAAGAAATAATGTATGTATCAATAACTGTCAATCACACTATATATCCATCCTCCCTCGCCTTCTTGTTCTGAACTATCGTAACTCATCCGACTGACATCTCTGACAATATTATATTATTCCAGCTTGTCTGTCATTTCTTCATTGACCAACCTTCCGTCAATTTGCGGCGTTTTGCGCATCCTGCACTCCGCCATCACCCCCTCACTCCTTTCCTGAGGCCCTGCAGGCCCTGCAGCCACTCAGCGCCATCGACGCCACCTCCGAGGAACACGGTGCCACCGAGACGACAGGAACTTTCGAAACTCAAAAATGAAATTGACTCTTTCGCTTTTGTCGTCAAGAAACCACTTTCACCAAGCAACGACACAAGATTAGTTTGATTACATCCGAGTCACCAAGTGACATCCTTCCTTAACCAGCGAACGATACATGGGGTGAAGAATGCGACAAATATACCGGGTAATACGGCGAAAAAGATGTCTGAAAGCTAGAGTAACCAGAGTGTCTTCCACACTCATTTCTGACAATCCAGAAAGGTCCTTTGAAGAATAGGCCTTCTTATCCCTGGTCCCCTCTTTCTGGATCATCGCCTCTGACCTTCTAAAAGAAACTGATACACGTCCAATCTCCAATTCAGAGCGGATAGTTATTGGACCCATAGACTGGGATGAGCAGCATCTTTTTCGCTTTTCACATAGTTTGATCATTGGAACCGTCATCGACCCGTTAGTACCAAGTACTGCGTAACAGCACATATTTGCTAGGCAAGAAAGAGCCGTGTGGTGGGATTAGTGGGCAAGATGAACATCACCGTGAGTCTGTTATTGGTTAAGCAGGGTATAGCTGATACGAGACAGCTCGACGACCTCTCCCCGGTTATCTCGTACGTCTCAGCGAGCAACGGCTGGAAGAGTGAGTTGTTCAATTCTTTCCTCGTTCAACCAGAACCCGATGGTATAACTCTGTAAGACCAGATATGAAGCTGATTTGTACAGGTCAACAAACCGATTCAGGATTATCGTCATATTTTCAAAGCACATTTCATTCCACTACCACGGATGTCAGTATTTTCTTCCATTTTCCTTCTACCATCACTCTTCATCCGCCGCACCTCCTTTTCAGTACCTCTGTAGTCCATATGTAGCCTTGTGAAAGATTGAGTCGGCGTGTAAGGATTATATTAAATGATAGGGAGACTCAGCTTCGGTGACTTTTAACGGTACCGCATGTTATTTCTATGGTCAGTCTTTTACCTTGACGTGAACTTGTCAAATCTGACCTTTGTAAGGAAGTACATGGGATAACCATGGAGCTTATAGTGGTAAGTGTGACTATACAGATTAGTGAACTCAAGCTGAGATATGAGCTAAAGTGGACGATCAACCGGTTCAATTGTTCTTGGGTTATAGTGCCGATAGAATCTTTCAAACTCCTATTTTCGTAGCTACTGGTTTGGCCGCTGATAAGGAACATACTGTGGTATGTGTTTGTCGTCTTTACTCCCTCACGACTGAGGAAGGAGACTTGAGTAGATATATACATGAGGGTGTGCTGATGAAATAGATATTGACCAATTTACCAAGTCAAACTAGTCCTCCGGCCAATGCGACTGTACAATGGTTTTTAGATATCGATTATGTTATCATCACCACCGCTACGTGAGTTTCTCCTTTCCCTTCCCTTCCCTCTTCCGACGTTGTCTGCCCATCATATCTCTTTCGACTTCCCAGGGTTTCTATATGAATGCTGTCGTGCACTTAAATCTAGGACAATAACTACTTGCTAACCACCCAGAACCGACAAAGTCTTCACTAACATATTCGACGATTCTCACCCTTCGTTCTCTTACGACAACACATGGGTAGCTCAAACCAATGTTGTCAAACCACCATATTACGATCTCACATCTCATCTCAGTCCTGCTAGTCAAGCAATTGCACATTTCCAGTGAGACATCTTTCCTCATACTCCACCTCACAACGGTCATGGGTGTTCATCATTAACGAAATAGATTCAACGGTTCTTCCGTCGGTCTTTACGGTGGGGTCAATTTTAACCATGGGAATTACTCAGTAAGGTGAGTTATCATTTCTCCGTCTCTTATAAGCTCTTGGAGGCTTTCTGATCTTCAGTTTGGATGGTGGTCCTACTCAATTATACAATGGATCACATTTCGAATTAGTGGATACTTTACGTATGTCAATCCTTACCTCTCCACCTCTTGAATCGGATTACAGTACTGTACACAATCTTTTCTACCCCTCGTTTCCCTCTGAGTCTGTCTTTCCTTAACTCTCTCATCGTGTTATCAAGCCATCACAACCATCTCGATTGTGCAACTTCAATTCTCCTCTGACCTATTCCTATTCCTTATGTCCAAGATCTGTATCTGATCTCTTTGTATCACAACTGGTATTCTACACAACTGGTAATCTACTCAATTGATTTCTCTGTAACGGTATTCGACATCTGGTCAATGGAGGTTAAATTGATCATAGTCTACCTTGCCACCTCCCTCTCTGAAGGGCCTCATTCATTAACAATAACCAACGTAATATCAGGTTCTAACAACGCTTTGGATATAGATTACGCTCTTGTCAATTCCACAATAGATCCAACCAACCCAAACCCCAATTTAAATTCCACTATCACCTCTGACACTTCTCTCAATGGTGACGATCATCATAATCATGCGGGTGCCATAGCGGGAGGTATAATCGGTGGTTTATCCTTATTAGGATTAATTGGGATATTGATATGGTACATATTTCGACGAAAAAGGATTGTGAATAAAATAGATCTTACTACTTCTTCAATTGAATATAATGGAGAAGAAGTTAAACCTTTTCCAGTCCCAGTACGACAAAATATATCTTATTCATCAAACCATTCTACCAATATGTCCACCACTCAACTTTCAGGTATCTCGAACAATATGTCCACCACTCAAATCCCAGGTATGTCAAACGAAATGATTACGGGAGTACCGAACGGTATGAATACATCACAAGTACGTTCGAATAAATCAAATATGACAAGTTATCTCAATTCCAATTCAAGTACGAATAACGATGATGAATCAATCATTGGGGGAAATACAAGACAAACCAATGAAAGACAAGTAGAATTACATTTAAATATTCCACCACCTCCATTATCAACAACGACATCTTATCTTCATTCAAATTCCAATCCAAATTCAAATAGACAATCTATACAACATCTTACTTCATCTCGTCAATCTTATTTCCAAACTTCAACTTCAACATCTTCCATGACAGATCCAGATTCACCAATACAAGCTCAAGTCAAAGGTGCATTAACGGCCACTGTTCAGACTACACGTCCTGTTTATCGGGAAGGTCTCAATGTGGTAGAACATGAGAGGAGGGAGATGGAAGGAATGGACTTACCACCTGATTATGCTCAAGTTGCCAGGAGATCGTGACCCTGCATCCTACTAGCTTGAGAATTGAATCTGCCCAGTAGTGTGTACCGTGTAATGGGTACTGTGTCAATGGTGATGATCAGACAGGCATATGAATCAAGTTCGTAAGTCTACAGATCAAGCTTTGATTTGTCAATTTTGAGTGTGTGAATGAGGTCTGAGAGGACCACAGGAAGTTTAGAATGGACGAAAGGAAGTAAAGGAGAAACATATGCAGGTCATATGTAAATTTTGTTGTTTAAAAAGTCACTTTCAGATGCATTCTTTTCAATCTCTCTCTCTCTCTCTCTTCGTCCTCTTGTCGTTCACAAATGATACAATGGTTTTTTAAGTCTAAAAACGAATCCAAATGAGAAAAATTCCCGATATAAGAAAAACCATACCAATCCCAATCCCAATCCCCATTCCGAATTCGTATCAAGCAAGGTTTTTTACTTTTCATTTCCAACTCTGAATATGTATTCAGATTGAGATTTCTTCCATTGACCCAAGACACTACGACACCAAAAAACCGCGACCTAAGAGGAATCTTCGTTGATTTGATATCCAAGAAATAAGGATAGGCATGAGAGCAAGGAAAAGCAGACAAGTGAAGATAGATATGTTGTAAGTTGAGAGACAATCGTATGTGTTAAGTGATAAGATTTAGGTCGTACTCGAGAGTGACATCCCGAGGGATGATGTGATGAGATAACTACCGCCTATTGAACCCTTAAGTCCACTGAATTTCGTCCCAGATCGTCCAAAGCGGCAAACATATCGCCCACCGTCAAATCATTCAATAATGACATCCATTCCCCGTCATCCGAATATGAGATCTTTGGTCGGGTCGAATTGTATGATCCAGGTTTGGCACAAAGTTGACATTTCTTCAACACTTTCGAGACTAGGTCGGAATAGGATACATCTCGAGTAATGTGAATTTGTAGTTTCTCCTATACATCAGCGGGGGCTCTCTACAATGTTCCGAACTAGGCTGCTATTTGTACTCTAGGTAGAGCTTCATGATGACACCCTATCACATTCTCGATTGAACGACAAAGAGGGAGAGTGGCTGAGAAGGGTTGATCAAAAAAAGGGCTTGGACGAAAGAAAGGCTGGTCGGAACAGGTTGACGATGGGAACAATAGGAAGGAGAAACAAGAATTCACTCACAGAACCACAATGTATAGTAACCACCACCAATCCATCCCCACTAGGTTGTCTACTAACAGGCGTACCACCTCTGACCATTCCTTCTTGTACTCCATATGGTGTAGCAGGACTTTGACTACTAGCCGTACTAGCTTCCGTACTTTGACTATCTCCACTACTTCTTTTCCCTCCAGACATTCTCTTTGTAAAGTAAACAGTTCCACCTACTAAAGTCGAAGAAGAACTAGTTCCTAACATTCCTCCACCCAAACCAGGATTAGGTAACTCTTCCATTGTTTCTTGCCAATCCTGTCCACTATTAGGGACAGGTAATGGTGGTTGAGGTTTTGGTCTTATTTGATATACTTGTGGAGATGAAGCTGATCTTGAACGTAATGGTGGTGGATGTATCGCGGAAGAAGTTGGTATTGAACTATTATGAGAAGGAGCTCTTGACATCATCATCCCTCTTGCTGAAAATGGTGGTCCGGCAGTTGGTGGATGAGAATTATATGAATAATTCGAATTTGGAATTATATCATTTCCTTCTTCTTCTTCTTCCTCATCTGCTATACCTAATTGACCTAATCGAGAAGCTGAAGCTTGTCTCATACCTCTCGGTAACCTTTCCCCGAAAGAAGCCTCTGAAGCTGTGGACATGGCAGACATATTAGATCCCATTCTAGGTAGAGGAGGTGGCATCATAGGTGCTTGTTGATTACGCCATTGTGACATGGAAGGACCGAATTGATCTTCCGTCATTGCTCGGGCTCTAAGATCCGCTTGTCTATCGGCAGGCATAGCTTGTTGACTCTGAACACGTCGACTAGGAACAGGTGGAAGATATCCACTTCCAGCGTTGAGAGATGGTGTTGATCTACCGGATCGGAATCCAGTTGTAGATTCGTCGTCATCAGGATAAGAGGAAGTTGGCATGTTGAATGAATATGGAGGTTGTTCAGAAGCAGGCGTAGGTGGTGCGAATGAAGATTGAAGATAACGTTGTCCGGAATTTCGACTTTGAAGTGATAGTCTCTCGGATTTGATCTCTTCAGCTCGTTTACGTTCAATTTTTGCAAATTCCCAGATCTTGTCGGCCCATTTTCTCATATACTCTTCACTTTTGCCAGACATGACAAACGAATCTTCGACGTTTTCGTAATATCCAGCATTTTGAGACCGAGCGGGAACAGTCCATGAGATGGCAACACGCCAACCACTATTAGGATCTGATCATCAGCACGGATTCGCACAATCTCCGGGCCTCCCTCTTATGCTGTTTTGTTCACCATGAAAGGGGTTTGTTCATCATGAGAGAGGTTTTATCACAGGGAAGAGATGGACTGACCTGATGACAGAGGCGGTTCCAAGCTGACATGCTTGATGTTTGAAACGAATATCCGTCCTTTCAGATTGTAAGGTCTTTTACTAGACATTCCCACTTTACTGGCCGTCTTATCTTTCCTCAACATGCTAGCGTTCTTACTCGACTTCTTTTCTTTCCTATCCGGCGCCACTTCTTTACAACACAACAACATACGTTCAAATAAGAACACATGGTACTCGCGAGGTTGTTCCGCTTTCATGACGCTGAAGTGATCGTCGAGATACAAATCACCAAATTTATCATATTCGTGTCCTTTCCAATCTTCCACACGTTCGATCAACTCGGCGACAGTTGCTTGTTTAGCAACATGATCGGTGATGTCGTTTATCCCACCGGCAATGCGTCGAACAGCAGCAGCTCCATCTTCAAGTTCTGACCGATAGGGATATTCGTGCTTCGCTGTAGACTTTAGCACGGCATCTAAGAGAAGACCGTATTTTGTGATTCGTTGAATGGGCTTGATCATGAATGCCTGAAGTTCTCTCTCAGGATGAAGACATGGTCGTTGGCTTTCTGGCAAAGTTTCTCCTCTCTGCGCGTGTGAGCTGGAAGCACATGAAACCCAGTGACACTCACCATTAGGTTTGGCATCTGATCATTGACCAGAGTAATCGCTCTAAGGTAATTGGCGCAATACGGACCATAACAATCAAACTCGGTTTCGCTGGTCACAAACGGCATACCCCATCTACCCTCGGCCCAAGCAGATTGATCCTGCTTCTCCTCGATGGGAGCGTACTCTGTTTCGAGCTTAATGAGGAATTTGCGCTAGACAAGTCAGCACAAATGGCACATGCGGAGAAAAAATCGTGACTCACGTGAAAGTCAAGGATTTTACTGATGTTGGAAAACATGAGATGAGCCGTATCCGGTGATATGAGTTGAGCTTGGACCATCTCCATTTGACACCTGACTAGAATCTCGATGTCCTGTACATAGCTCTTCTCACTCTGGACCAACTCTTCAACACTCTTGAACGCATTTGCATCCGCAGACGATCTAGACATACCCCGTTGCATGTTCTCCGCAGTGGGCGAGGAGTCCGCGGCGATGTGCACACCGCCATTCATCGTGGCCGCCATGTTGGAGATAGTGTTGCTACCTGTTCCTGTGCCACCCATGGGGAAGGGGAAATCAGACGATTGTCTAGCGGAAGCGGACAGACGCATGGATCCTGACATGTTGCCGAGTCCTGACGACGCTGTGTAGGGTGTTTGGGGAGATCCAGGGATGATAGCCGAAGCGGGTAAATTGTCGACCATATCTTCGACGGTCTCGAGGACTTTCATCAATCCGGTCGAATCGAATCCCTCTGTGTCTTGGCCATCGGCATTGGCCGTTTTGCCATATAACTCGTGCAGCGCCCACATCTCTCGATGCCATCTGCCTTCTTCTCGACGTTGTTTGAGAGCCATGCAAAATACCGCTATATACTTTTGACACTGTTTGGCGTTTTCTGGTTTCTTGGCCCAGTTCTTGACGCCGTCGGGAGTAGAATAAAAGTCTGGGAAAGTAACTGGGATGGGAGGAGGGGCCGGGTAGTCGGCATAAAGGGCTGAAGAGGGGTCGGAGAAAGCGGGGATGAGGAGGTTGTAGATGTGGACAAGGGGAGAACCCATTCGGAGGGTGTGACACATTTGAGTGACAACATCGAGATGTTCTGCATGAGGTGGTTGTTCTGGATTTCAGCGTCATGGCCCATTGTACGATGTCATGCTGTGAGAGATAGTTCATGCCCAGCGGCCGACACGGGCGTGAGAGTCAGAGGGATGACGGAGTGGACAATGGAACGGTCCACTCACCCAGATAAGGCTTGAATCCCTCAACGCATCGCAGACGCTTTCTCAGATATGAACATTGTTGATACAAAGTTCTACTGGTGGACAAAGATGCCGTTTTGAGCGCAAGCGCATTGGGTCTAGTCTGATCAGCGACCATTCCACCGGTTCAGACGGAGACGGGAAGGAGAAGATGTGACAACTGACTGATTGGAAGGCATCCTGATGCTGGCCGTGTCGAGGGGCTGTAAAGAACCCGCACTGACAGAGCCTACCCTCCTCCTCGAGATGGATCCTGATGACATTGATATGGGTTGTGCTGTGGACATGAGGTGTGAACAATGGAACTGATGGCCGTGGTCGTGTCACGGTAAGTGGCGGAGGGGAGAAGGTAAGATACTAGCAGAGCACTGAAAAAGCGCTAACTGCTCAACGACCAGGACCAAATGTCAAGACGGTTGATTGCCGCTTGGTCGTCCTGTCGCGTTGAGTGGTTTGGTTTCCAAGCCCACTGGGAGGACTTGATCCGTCGTCGGGAGGTCGGCAAAGACGGGCAGAAGATCAGAGGTGTGTGGTGGAGGATGAAGGGGAAGATTGACACAAAGGATGGTTTTGGGCTGCTGACTGAAAATGACTGGGGAGTGATCCCAGGCGGACGATCGGGGATGGTGATGAGTGGGTCGAAGGACGTGTTGTCGAGGGAGCACTTTGAGTGACCTCTAGTCGCGTGGTATCTGACTTTGACTTTAGCCCGAGACCGTTCGACCGCTCAACGGGGGGTTTTTGAAAAGGATGGAGAGGGAGTAATTGACAAGATACAGATGTACAGTGTAAGTCGAGAGGTGTAGAGTGGAAAAGGAAGAGAGTGAGAAAAAAAAACCGAGGGAACGTGTTAGTAAGGGGATTTTGCGTTGTCAAGGGGGTTGAAGAAAAAGAGAACACAGGTAAGGGTTGAATGATGACAATAGGTCCTTTGGCTTTTCCCCTCTCGCCTCTTTTTCAACTTGACGCCCCCTTGAACCACCCTCTTCTCATTCGGATAGAGAGGAATTATGTTAAAGAACTTTGAACTCACGAGTCTTGTCCACACGCGTCTTTTCGCTCAAAAGTCGGAGCGGATCCTTCCCTAGATGCCCCAAAAGACAAAGTGTCTTGCACAAGTGAAAGATGAAGTCGTGGTGGGGATATTTTTGATGACGCTTATGCCGATGCCGCACGAGACGACGATCTTTTTATGTTCCTGCAATGCAACTAGTCACGCGTCGTACAATTTTCTTTCCAGTCGCCTGCAGTCGTACAGTCGTATGATCAGGCGTCAACGCACTAGTGATAGTCGGTAAGCTCGATGGTGGCGACAGTGGGGGGATGACAAGATGTACAGATCGAGTAGAGAGCGAATAGCAAGCAGTAGTAGCGAGTTGATGTGGCGTAGTACAGCGAACAAGGGACCGAGCCTGTCGTTCCGTCCTAATCCCTTGATCCTACAAGCTCGGACCTGGAGTCTTTGTTGAAAGCAGGGGATGAATGAAAGAGAAGGAAGAGAAGAGTGACGGGCGAATGAGAATAGACAAGTGACGATGGATAACAACAACAACGACAATGTACACTTCTGTATGTTTGTCAGAATACTGGAATGCAAACTTGGTCGATATATCGGAGGACGAGCCGATTCCTACCGTGCTAGTCTCCTACAGCTGCCGTAGGCTTGCCGTTTACTTAATGACTCTTTTTCGAAAAGATCAAACAATAATCAAAGTCGAGACTTTTGAGATCGTAATATTATGTCGCGATTGTCGTCGGTGGGTATTTCTCAAAACTTGCTAGATCCTACAATCCTGGCTTATGTTTCTCGATTGACTCTTTGATGATGTCGAAATATGAAGAGATGAGAATTGAGAGGACAAGGGGGTATGAGGATAAGGATGAAACGCGTGTGTTATTGGGTGTGGAGGGTATGAGTGTGTGAACGATATGAGTATCCGCTCAACGTGGTAGGGATGAAGTGGAATGGTGGATCGGATGGTCGGATGGATGATGAGGATAGAGAAAGTTAAAGAGATGAGAAAAGATGAGTATCGAGACGAGAGTCAATTGAACAAGGCAGGTGGCATGGCAGGGAAGGGGAAGGGGAAGGGGAAGGGTATGAGTGGAGGAGAAGCAAAGAAGCAAGAAGCAAGGGGGGTTGGATACAAAGCCTATTGTGCAAGGCACGGCTTGTTCTCCCAATAGCCTACCCTATTTCTCCCCTTATTCCCTCATCTCATTCTAAACCCTGAAAGAAGCACTCTTCTCAATTGACACATGACATGCTCCGTTTCATCGTTCATCCATCAGACATGTAAAGCACGAAGAGTGATGCGGCATGTGGACTACCTGTAATATCATGTTGCCACATGCGACTATCACTATCTTGACTCTATCTAACACCTCGATGATCGATGAGCGATGGTTTGCGGTAAGTGACTATCACAACTCAAACATCTAATCTGGACGCGACTATCATAGAGACCCTGGTTGTCCTGCAGCATGCAACCCTGCAGCCCTGGTGACTGGCAGAGTATGAAACGCCTTCGCCCTGTCAAAACGTCGAGGTTGAATTTGGATCATTTCTCAATGGCACAACATACATCAACAAGAAAACCCCAGATGACATTTTCTCTTTCACATCTCTTCCCACCTGGTGAGATCCATCGGTTTGGCCAAGAGCGGTACGACATAAGGATCGAAAGTCTTTCCCGTCAGCTTCCTTTTCTTTCAAACGATCAATGTAGAGGCGTACTTTCCAATACTACATGTCAGCTCGATTTCTCTTCCAAGTCCTCATCGACTGACAATTCATACTATGACAAACTCCAAGGATCACGACCGGCGAGCTCTCGAGGAATTCCCCTTAGCGTGGGGGGAGGTAGAGACGTAGAGATGGAGGAAGAGGCCGGGTAGGTCAGGAGGAGTAACAAGCAGAGTGATAAGGAGACTCACAGGATTACCAAGATGATATTGTTGTGAACTTTCTTGTTCGTATCGTTCCACGATACAAAATTTCGTGTCATCTTTAGGATCTTGCATGACTATCCAATCGATGGTCTAAGATCAACATCCTCTTGTATCATCTACCAATGAGGTGTAAGAGTAACACGTCTGCTAGGGATATGATGGATGACAATGAAGGAATTAGAAACACACCTCTTTATCTTGTCGATAGATTGAAGCAGCTTCGATCAACTTTTCTTTGATCTTATCGACAGCTTCCTAGATATCAGTTCAGACAATTGTGTCATTTCTTCTATCTGCTTTCCCTAAGTACTTCATCTTCCCCACGCTCTTTCGTGTTTCCGCGTCACTCCATTTTCTCATGGGAAATCTGATCAAGGGCGTGCAGAGGGAGTGAACCAGATATGATGTGGCAGGGCATCGATGTGGATGTGTTAATGTCATTCTTCTAGGAGACAGTCGAAATGAGCTAGGAGAGGGGAGGGAAGAAGGAAAAGCAGGAACAGAAGGGAGAGAAAGGACCTACAGGTAAAGCTTGAAGATGAACGACGATAGTATATACCATTTCTTTCTTAGAGTAGTACTTTGGATCCTTAGGTCAGCTGCACGATTTATTCTGATCAGATGGAGGATCCCAGATCAGAGTACGAAGTGATAGTATTGATGATGAGAGAACAAAGGGATACATTTATACAGTATGTTGTCATGGTGTATCATGATGTATCATGTTTCAAAGGATGACAGAAACAGAGATTAAAACACATTCCGGTCCGGTGCAAGTGAAGCTTCTTTGCTTCTTCTTCCTCTACTCCCTACAGTCTGTACAGTCACAAGCCCCTACCACATGTACTACAACATTTGATGACTCGATAATCTCATTATGAAAAGGTCTCTTCTATCCCATTTCTCACCTTTAAGAATCGGACCCATCAGATATCCGCCGATCCGCTATCAACTTTATCTTCCAACATGGTCTACTAGGAGTAGTACTATCTCCTATTCGACCAAGATATCTACATATTCCATCTCATCGATAAACATTCCCTTCCAAGGTCGTCAAAACGGATCTTCTTCCTTTCTCGCTCAACGAACAATACCGTTATCAGCCAGACATTCCATAAGTCAAGGGAAAAGATCATTTCATCCTTCTCATAGAAATCAAGACGTTTTCTTCATCGCTTTTCCAGCTCTGAAAAGTGGTCTGTTGAGTTTAACAAGGTTTTCTTTACTGTTCTTACCTTTTATCTTTCGATACAAGTGAGTCACTCGTTCCTTACTTATCAACCCTCCCCCCGCTCCTCCCACGTTACAGGGGACAAACCTCATCACTATACTGTTTCTGTTCAGAGTGTTTTGTCAAGGACGAGGAAGTATACTCATGACAGATTATGGAAACGTTACAGACGGACTTCGTACCTTCTTATCCAGATACCCGTGAGTGTCTCTGGCTTCTCCCGGATTAGAATGATACGAAGTATATCACTCAAATCTGATATCAGGTATTCGCCGTGTGTATCGTCCTAGCTTTAGGTCTTGATCAATCTCCTCGGACTGGACGATGGAGATTGTTGCTTTTATCAGAGGGAGAAGAGATGGCTTGGTCTAGGCGGAAGTAGGTTTTATCCAATTTCTCCTTCCAAATTCAATCTCTCTGGCCTTATCATCACTCTTCCTCTCCTACTGTACGCCCAAAAGAATAAGCGGAGCAGTCATCCCGTTGAATCCCTTCCCCGATCTCTTTCCGGAGGTAAACTTGACTCGTCCCATCGCTTCCCTAACCCCTTTCTAGTGATCGGCTCGCATGACCTAACGCCCAATTCCATTCCCTCCTGACGTGTCCAAGTCGAAAGAACCACCACTCCGAAGTCAATCTCATGCCAAAGGATATCTAATATCAGACACACAGAAGTCCTCAATTCCGACGGTCGATTTCTCCTTTCCCCCGCTGACCCTCAATCCAAACGCGTATCTCGAATCACATCCCGTTTAGTCACAGCACTAGAAGAACAAGATCATCATGTCGTTTGCGGTGCCACCTGGCCTCCAAGATCACAAGAGTTGGCTAGAGTGATCAATGAACGAGATCAAGAAAAGAAGTACGAACCTAGTGGTACGGCACATAGTAGTTTTATGCCTTGGAGACCGGATACTAGTAATCCTTTGAAACGGTTAGAAAGTGCCGATTGGAATGTTTATTTGGTGGATCTGGTGAGTACTTGAGATCATCTCTTGATAATCATCTCCTCCAATGTTTTGCATTCTCCCCGATCTTGCTCCAAACCCGTTGGTCCTTAGGTTGAATAATCTTCTCCAGCTTTCGCTTCTTCTCTCTCGGACCTGAATGTTGGGTTTATGATTTGGTCAGTCATAGCAAGACAGTACAAAAGAAAGGGTCGTTTGTGACATGGATTGTCGTCAGGTTCAGGACAGAGCTAAATCATAAGCCTCAAATACAGGCTTTCGCTTTACCCAGTAAAGATATCTTCGTTTACACAGGTTTACTCAATACGTTACCAGAAGACGACTCTATGTTAGCTGCTGTTTTAGCTCATGAAATCGCTCATGTGGCCGAAAGACACAGTGTTGAGAATTTAGGGGTGAGTTCAAATCCTTAACCTCTGTCGTCCTTCTTCACCTGATATTTGTTTACCTCTCATTTTATCGATCACTGGATCAGGTTCCTTCAGAGCGTCAATGGATTGATGCTAGCGAAAAATGCTAAATTGCAGTTCCTTCAAGCTGCAGCAGTAGCATTTGACGTCTTACGTGGTATCTCTTTCGCCCTGACAATCTCTTTTCCCATGTAAGCACTTGTCAACCCTTCTTTGACCAGCTGACATACAGTATAACAGATACGGCTGGGGTATTCATCAATTGGTTGAATGATGTAGTTGCCACTAGAGCGTATTCTAGAAAGTTGGAAGAAGAAGCTGATTCTGTTGGATTACATGTGGGTTCTTTATTCCTTCTTCTCCTCTTTCATTCTGCCTTCTTCCTTGTTTCTTGTTCCTTCTTCCTCCTTCCCCCTTTTGCCTTTTCTCCCTTTTTTCACTTAATCTTCTGTCTTCTGTCTTTTGTCTTTTGTCTTTTGTCCATCATTCTCGTCCACCGGACAAACAATATCCCATATCCTACTTCATTCTCCCCAGCTCTCCACAAAATAATACAATTAGGGTATGCAAGTTGAAAAAATTGTGGATTTTTGTACTCCGCCCGTATATATATATATATCGAGTTCGAAAGGAAACATGTGAAACAAAGATAAGAATGCTAACCTCCAGCTCATGGCTAGAGCAGGGTACGATCCTCGTGGTGCATTAGATCTTTGGGAATTATTCCAATGTGTCGAACGTGATGCTCAAGCTGGTAAACCGTTATCAGGGATAGAAAATCGTTTCGTATTACTTCGTACTCATCCCACCAGTGAAGAAAGATGGAAAGCTTTGGATAAAGAGATGTCAGAGGCTGTGAAGATGTGGGAAGAAAGAAGAAGGAATAAAATTGGATCTTCTAAATCTATCGTTGAAACAGATAAGGTGATTGTAGAATCTTAGAATGTTGTAGTTGAAAATGTGACATCGAACTAGTTCGTTTACTCTATACACTACACGAGCATATCTTATCTACTACTGTGATCGTCCACGATTACTTTGTGCACTACGAATACGAATACGAATACGAATACGAATACGAATACGAATACGAATACGTGTATTATAACAATACTCGTACAGTCTTCTACATGATTGTGGTGTATGTATCATTAAACTTGTATCGGTGAAAATGAAGACTCGGCATGGAAAATAACACCTGATATCCAATACATGAAATCACTACTCTTAACCGAACAATCCTTCGAACCACAAACAAGAAATAAAACGTCAAGAGGATCCTACGAAACTTCAAACAAAGTTTGACCAACTTCTAAATCCATATCCATATCCATATCCACATCTTCACCTTCACCTTCACCTTCCGCTTCTTCCCCTCCATCTTCCTCTTCCACTCTCCCTTCTACCAATTCTTCATCCTGATCATGATCTTGGTCTTCGGAACTCATACCAACATCTGGATAAGTAACATATTCCCCCGTCTTTTCAATGACATTTTGATACTCATACGATTCGTCATTCATCGTCTCTTTGACCTTTTTACGTTTTTTAGGTTGACCATCTTCTGTCAAAGATGTTGAAAGACGGATTGTTGATCGACGTTTTTTGACACTTCTTCCATCACCCCATAATTCTGGTGGACGGATCACACCGAATTTAGTATGGTACAGACCGCAAGCTGATGTCAGCGTTGATTTTTAACTTCATATCTCCATTGAGACTGAGAATAGTTATTTCCAATTTCATATAACAGTGAGATCACTGTGGTGACATCTGGACGACGTGGCTTAGTGTCCTTCCGTGAGAGACGTGCTTAGCGTGAATTGTTGATTCATAACGGGAGAGAGGAGGGGATCATCAGATAAGGAGATGAGGATCGTGTCGACATGGTCATCTATGAGGTTGGGCATGATGATAGACTTGGTATTTCGTAATATGGTGGAAATTTGTGAATATTAAGGAAAGACGATTCGGAGAAGAAAAAGAAAGAAGTCAAGCCAACTCACCGTTGCAAACTTTATGGTCCTGTCCACCTAAAACCAACTTTCTCCATACCGTAGTCTCGGTTCTTCCACAAATATCACAACTTCCCAATGGACCTTTTTTCAACCTAGACAAAACAGAAGGTATTCCAACTTCTTGTCCCGTCCCTTCCACTACTTCCATCATTTCACTTTCACCTTGTGGCTGAGTTTGTGTTTGTTGTAAAGTCGAAGGACCAGCTTCCACATTTGTTTCCGTCTCTATATGAACAGGCATTTGTTCTTCAGCAGGAAGAAGATCGGCAAAAGTAGCAGGACCAATGCCACCCATTCCGCCATTGATTTCTTGATGAATCTTTAAGATGTAAGCTCCTGTAGGATCCGTTTCTTCTATCCCTTGAAACCCATCCTCTGCGATTGATTCCATCGTAGATGCGTTGATCGCATCGGAGTGGTTTGTAGGGTTTGTCGACTCTGTTTGGTCTACCGTATCAGAAGAGGATATTTGTTGATGGAGTCTACTAGGACCAACTGTCCATGATTTAGATTTTCTCTTTGACGTTCTTGGAGTTTTACTCTTTGTCAAAGGTCTTTGTTTAGGAGGTCTTCCCCTTCTTCTTCTAGCAATGGCAGGTGTGGAATAAGCAGAAGTCGGTAAATCGTTTTCCGCTCCTGGTGCAGGTATAGGTAAACCTCCATATAAACCTCCTACATAGCCTCCCAAAGCTCGTAATATGTTCAAGATCGATTCTTTATCGCTGGCCGTTCCTCTATCGATCAATTCGTATAGATCATGTGCCAAACCCGCCAGACGTGTTTCAGAAGAAACTTTCTCGTCTCTCGCTTTTAACATCGTCTCGCGTAACTTGGGCAGATTAGATTCTGTTTCCTCCAAGTTATCTCTCATGTCGACTTCTTTCGCCTCTAACACCGCAAGATCGTCCGATATAAATTCTTCGGGTAAATTGAAATCATAATCTTCAATTGAGGGTTCATCGGAAGTTCGTAAATTGGCAAGTTTTCGATCAAGGATAGCGATGGCGGCTTTGGTACTAGCTAGATCATCTCTTATAATCTTCTCCATCTCCGCATTCATAGCGATAGCCATATCCGTATCCGCAGCTGTTTTACAAGCTTTCAAAGAGAATTTCCTTCCTCTTTCCATTTCACCAGAATCGGATGCCTTATCCTTGTCGTCTCTTCCAGCAGCTACATCTGCTAATTCACCTAATCTTCCAGTTGTCTCACCCGCTGCGGCCTCTGAAAAGAAATTCTCCACTCCTTGCATCCATTCATGTGGATCATGTGTCCCATCGTCGTGAAAAGTATCAGATATGCTGGGATCGGACATGAGAGCAGCTAAGATGGTTCTGGAATGATTCTCTTGTTGAGCGGCAACATTTTCTTCTCCGTGTCCCATACCAGCTCTTTCTTCCCCTTCGACATGTTCGTGATTCTCGGGTGGGAGGGAAGAAGAATCAACATGTTGTGTGGTAATTTGTGCGTCAGGGTTTCCCTCTAGACGAGCGAGTTCGGTTCGTAATTTGGCATTCTCCTCTATGAGTCGGTTCGAAGTGGCTTGCAATGACAATACCTTTTCAGCTTGACGAGAACGTGATCTTTCAGCAGCCAGACGGTTCGCCTCTCGTCGACGGAAATCTGCGGTTGAACCAGGAACGACACGACGATTTCTTCTTTTGGCCGAATCATGGGGAGGGGTTTGTTCGAGGGGAGCAGGGGGAGCATCGGCATCTTGGAAGGAATGATCTGAATCTGTGACTTGAAGCAATGGGTCTTATGAGTCAGTCAAGATATGGATAGAGAAGAGACTGAATAGACGTACCTATGACGGAATGTATAGTGGTATCGTTGTTGTCCTGTTGCATTATGGGATTGTTTGATGATGATAAGCAAAACGTCGGAAATGGTGACAAAGAAAACATCCAAGCCGACTTGCACTAACTTATTTCCTTTTCCGGCAAGTGCACTTCGCTGACTGACAATTAGGCGTGCAAGATACATGACGCGTCGCACGCCTTGCTGCTCATCCTCCCATCTCGAGATTTGGTCACTCCGTAACGTGTTCACGGTTGTAACAACGAGTGACTCTCCCTCCAAAACTTCGGCAACATGGAAGCCAAACTGTGAGCTCTCCGATTGGTGTTGCTCTCACAGAGCTGATGATCAGACAAAAGCTCAAAGTCGCAGAGCTCAAGGAGCTCTTGGCCAAGCATCACCTCGTCCAAACCGGAAAGAAAGACGATCTCGTCAAGAGGTTACTAGACAACGGCATAAATGTAGACGATGATGGTACCGAAATTGTCAGTTTAGATTTTCATCCTGATTGGAACTACATCTGACATACAGACATCGGAAGATCCTGCACCTGACACTACCTCTACAGCCGCTCCAACAGATTTGGGTCTACCTACTTCTGCCCCTGTTGTGAGTGCTGCTGCTGCCCATGCTGATCCATAGTCTCTATACTAACCACTCAGACCGACTCAACATCTGCACTCACACAACCTCCTGCCGATGCAACCGATCTGACTCCCGAACAAATACAGATGAAAGCTCGCGCCGAGCGATTTGGAATTTCCTTCAACCCTAATCCCACTTCCACCCCTAGACCATCCAAAACCGAAAAATCCATCACTACCTCCACAACCTCTAACGCGCCCGCCGCGACGAAAGAAAAGACCATCAAAATAGACGCGACTCCAAAGTCTTTGGGTATAAGCGAGGAGGTATTAGCGAAACGTGCGGCCAAGTTTGGGACCGCCAAAAAGCCTGAAGAGCCTTCGAAACAGGAGAAGACGGTGGAAATATCACCGTGAGTTTCTCCTCGTGCGCCTGACAGAACGCCCCATCCCAAACTTTATTGTTGTGTGTAGGATGAGTATCGATCCGTGACGACGGAATGAATGATGTAATGAGGTCATGGCTGACATTCAGTGAATTAGCGGAGAAATTGAGGATCGAAGAAGAGAAAAAGAGGAAAAGAGCTGAGAAGTTTGGGACGGCACAGAATACAACCTCTTCCAATGGAGCTAATCAACCTGTACGTCTCTTCTTTCCACCTTTTAAATCGTGACATTGTTTGAATCAGTACGAAGACTTTGTTGTGGGAGAGGACAATAGCTGATGACTCGCTGTAGGATCCGAAAAAAGTAAAAGAATGAGATTGGTGAGTCTTTCTTCTCAAAATGTACTGTCGTAGGGCGCAAACGAAGATGCAGGGTTTATGTTTCAGGTCTTGTGCCCTTTTCACTCGGACCGACCGTAGCCATTGGGCCTCTGGATCATGACTGTTCCTTCCGTCTTCTGACGTTGACTCCCTAGTCCCGCCTTCTTTCGCCGATCGCCGCATTATCTGACTTCAGATTCCCCACTTGTTTGATCTTTTTGATCGTCCCCATTACATTTACAGCCTCACCCATCCATTCAGAGAGAGACAATGTGCTTGATTCGAAACCGAGGATTTCAAAGGCCAAAGGCGACGTACTGAACTTTTGACTATTCCTGTCATATGAAAACTGTTCACATCAAAAATTAACGCTCTGGGTAATACCTTCTCACGCTCGAACCACCGCGGACACGGAAGACACGGAGAACAAAATGTCAAAAGTTCTGACACCGAAACATCCCTTTGATACTTCGGGCTCCTGCAAAGGCAGACAAAGGGATGAAAACTGATATCTTTCCCACCCTTTGACAAAACCTTTGGGGCTTTGCCCAACTTTGAGGCAAGGGGTCAAGGCGAGGGTACGCGGGTAAAGTCATGAGTGTCCAAATATGAGGCGTGTGACTGGTGAAAGGTTGAAAGGCTGATGTGTAAAGTCAGAGGTGTATATGTGAATGGAAGACTGAAGGGTGAGATGAGAGATCATAAGTCGAGTGAAAAGTCGAAGGAGATGATCAATGCTGAGATAGAACAAGAGGTTCCTTTGCTACGTTCCAAACTTACTCATCCTCCACTTTGAATTTGTAAAAAGACGTCGATCTTTTCGCACTACTTATTTCTTTTCTCACCGCAGCGTCGATTTGAGGTTCTGATCAAGTTCGGTGAATGACGACGTTGTATGAAAGATGAATGTCACGGTGAGTTCCTTCTTTCCGGAGCTGTGTGGTGGTTCCTCTAATGGAACGTGGTGAGGGAGAACGCCGTGGGTCGATGGGTTGGTGGAGTGGGTGAGAAGCCGTTCAAGAGAGGTCTCGGTTGGTAGGAATGGATTGTGTGGTGTGGTGTGGAAAGGGAACGCTGACAATAACAGATAGATGATACCTCACCTCAGATCAGGTATTCCGATCCGTCAGGATGGCTTGTCAATGGGATTGCCGGTGAGTTTTCCTTGACGCATGACCCACATGTTCTTCGTCAATCGGTGAAGAACCGAAAGACATGAAGTATCGTTCTTGAAAAAAGTCACAACCGGGGAAAATGGTATTGCAGAGATGTGCAGGAGCTGATGATTAGACTCAGGGTACGTCGACTATTACGGTCAAACATTTATGGGTACTCAAACTGCCGTAAGTCAATACCACGCAGTCCGCTTCCCCTTCCCGGGCTTCTCCATTTGAGAGACCATTCGTTACATCATCATCCTCAAAATTGGGATCGAGTACTGATGAATAAAGGGCAACTCTTTTTCTTTCACATTTCACGCTGAGGCGGTTTACATATATGGATCAAAGTGGTATAACCATGGATATTATTCTGGTAAGTCATTGGTCATACCTCGTTCCTTCTCCTCATGAGTAACTTCATTGTGAACATGTGAAATAAGGTTGTGACAGAGGAAGATGGAGGAAGGTTCATGGAGAAAAAGAAAACCGAGGCGAGTCGCTGATTGTCAGTATCTCTAGATGGAGGTCAAGCTCAATATTCCAATGGGAATACGGACGGAACTCGGTATTTCCAGCAATGTCTGTATTCTGCCACCGGGCTGTCTACTGGGTCACATACCATTGTCAGTGTTTTCTCTCCTGCTCCTCATGCTTCCCTCGGTATCAGATCTAGTATTCATCGACTCGTTCTGACGAATCTACCGTCAACCTTTCTGAGTCTTTAGAAATCCGAGGTGCAACTGCTCACCCTCAGGTCGTGACCAACACCCCCAACATGCAACCCCAAACCGGAGAAATATGGTTTGACCTTGACTTTATCGTCCTAACCCTTCCCACCACCTCCCAAATCCACAGTACCACTTTCGACGACCCATCTTCGGCCTTCACTTATTCCGACAACGGAGGATGGAGTCAAACAACTCATTCTTCTCATTCAACCGATACGACGGGATCTTCAGTTAGCTTCTCGTAAGTCTATTCCGGCCTGACATTCTCCCACGAAACACCAGTCGTTACAAGCGGCTAGCGGCAAGTTAGGAGGAGCTCAAGCTTATATGATAGTTTTACAGGAAGTTCGGTCCAGGTGTTTGGTCAGGTCGGTCCTCAGAACGGAAATTATTCGATATCGCTCGACCAAGTAGTAGAACAACCGTATAATGGAACTCATGGTACAACTATCGGAGTGACATCGTGTAAGTGACTGCTTTATCCTACTCCCCCTCTCTGCCGTACCCGCATTCCATGACAACCACGGTCCTCACCGGGGTCGGTATCTCTTATGAAGTTACGAACGACCATCTTCCTTGGTGACCATATGACACAGCTGACTAGTCAGTATATCTCGCTTCTGGACTATCGGACAGTCCACATACTCTGGTCATCACCAATATAGCTAACGATCGTGGTTCCCTCCTCGACATCAACTACGCGATCGTCAATAGTTCCCTCACCCCCACTTCGTCTAGCATCGTGCCCTCCACTGCTCTCTCTAACGTCTCTTCAGTTGTCCAATCTTCATCCACCACCACTACCACATCATTCGATGACTCCTCCATTAGCTCATCTTCCCCCGGTAGCACCGCTACCTCATCCAGCACATCTTCCTCGTCCACTGCATCCGGAGCAGCAGCGGCAGTTTGGGCGGACAAGACCTCGTCTGGAAGTTCGGAAATACCACCTCCCCAGAGGACTGGCGATATCGCTGCCATCTCCGCTCAAACCTCAACAACCCGAAGTGGAGATGTCGGTGCTGTTGTCGGTGGGACTGTAGCTGCTGTCGTTCTCCTCATCCTAGCCATGATCCTCGGTGTTTGGTTATGGCGAAGGAGACGTCGAAGAGGACAAATCCATCTTGAACCTTCTCCCATCAGTACAAATCCCCGGTTAAAGTCTTCCTCTGAATCCTCTCTTTATCCCATGATTGACAGACGTGGATCCGGACGAGGTGGGACTGGTGATGTAAGACAAAGGGATACCATTCAATCTTCAATTCTTTCTCCTATATGGTCACCCAATAGAGAAGTGTTCCATCAATATACACCCCCACAACGTGTAATGATGACTTACACCGATTTACCACCTTTAGACATTCCTTCTGCTCCAACACCAGCTTTCGTCCGTCGGTTAACCTACAACCCTGAACCTGCTCCATCCTCTCGTAGTCCTGAAATATCCCGACAGGTCGATCGTCAAAATCATTCTCGTCAGCTCTCTACGTCTTCATTCAATCGATCATCGACTAGACCATCTCCATCCTCACGAGCTTTACCTTCGTCTGGAATACCCACGGCTCAAGAAGGACGATCATCTAGTCGAAGACGTGAATCGAAGTCTTCCCCCAGACAAGGAAAGCGAGTCGTCGATATTCGCGATGATACATCCGGATATAGGCATGATGCAACTCAGCCCTTTACCTCATCAACGAACGAACAACTCACGGGGGCCCTCGGGCCCTCTCTTGGATCCGATGATTCTCCTTCGTCCGCACTGAAAACCGAGCTTCTCAATATGCCATTCCGTCGATTCTCCGGACCGTCAGAAGGAGCTTCTTCTAGGGCTACCATGTCGGTCTTTGGACGTGAAAGAGATGCTGGACCTGCTACTCCGGAGGAAATCGAAAGGGCTGCTTTGGGAATACCTGAACTACCGATATTACCACCTAATTATCAGCAAGCTACTCAGAAGAGACGAAGATGATACTTACCTAAGAGGATAGATCTGCGATGCTCCGTTCGGTTTATCTTGATTACTGAGGAGATGTGAGTAGATGATTGGGAATCAATGATCGATAGAAGATGAAAACGACGTATCTGAATCATATTCGTCTTGCACATCGCATCCTCATTCACACATCTGCTTCAACTATCAACCTAGCGATACTGTTCCTTAGAACTCGTTCCTTCGTCTTTCCGACCTGCTAGTCAATCTTATGGACCACACGCGCGCTTAAGAATCCACTTACCGATATTCGAACGCTGGCACGAAAATATCAAACGTAGTGGGAGAGGTGAAACGGAAAGGGAAATGTCACCATCAGACTGGGAATCTTCCCGAGATCAAAGATCAACCTCGGAGAAGCAGTCAGAGAGGGGAAAGCATGAATCACCATTCGATTGGATTCTACCCGAGATCACATAGATTAATCGGAGATGCAGTCGAATGGGAGAGCATGATCACTCGCGATTCGAATATCGACTTTCCTTTCACTCGATCGGTCACATACGTACCTGAGCGAGGATCCAGTCTTGTTCGTCATTCTAGCGAAGCATGAACCGAGAATCGAAAACCGAAACCGAAAACCGAAACCCGAAACCCACCGAGACTGGATTCTACCCGAAAGGTCATGGATGTACCCCGGAGATACAGTCTCGATGGTTCTAACCACCCCTCGAATATCTGTCATTCTACCCTTTCGACTCCTGGTCTGTGGGGATTCAATTTGTTCCAGGGGGGTTCTTCCGGGGAATCTTCCTTCTTCACTGAACACACTCGTCAAACTCGATCTATCACAAGCGTGAGCGAGGAAAGACGAGTGAGAAAGGGAAGAAGGTAGATTCCCCAGGCGCGATCCATCTTCCCCCGGAAAGTCAACGTGGATATATTGAGGCGTCAGACTTTCCGGGGGAAGATGGATCGCGAATGATAAGGGATAAAAGATTGACATACCAGATAGTGAAAAATTGATTTGATTTAATTGTTTAAAGATGAAGAGTTTTAAAGTAAAAGAGAGTTTTAGAGGATTTAATTATTTTAAGAAAGTTTAGATCATGAAGATCAATTTAAGTTTAGAAGTTTTCAAAAGCAAGAAAGCTTTTGAGAGGTTTCAGAGGTTTAGAGGTTTTTTCTTAACGCGTTGTCGAATGGGGGAAGGGGAAGTCGAAAGATTTGAGATTAACGACAGAATTCGAGTTCGAGGAACTTGGCACGACCAAATGCCAACATGAAGAATAAAAATGATGATGAATGCGTCTTCTTGAAGAAAAAAAACCTCTAAACCTCTGGGTCGTGTTAAGTTTCTCGAACTCGAATTCCGTCGTAGGAATGTATATGATGTTATTGATGTGGTCGACTATTCCAATGATCCGGCGATTGAGATGTTGAGATGTTGCGATGTGTTGATATGTCGAAGTGGCGTTGATGAGAGGTTAAGGATGTGATGATGATCTTCTATCCTTCGACGATGATCAAAGAAGGATGAGGGAATGAAGAGGAGAAGGGGATAAGAAAGGGATAAGAAAGGGAAAGGGGATCATCGACGAAGGATAAGAAGTCATCTCACGGGGAAGGAATGGGAAGGGGGATGGGTAGGCCCGGGGGGGGGGGGGGGGTGTTGTCGAAACTATGGAATATTAAGCATCAAGTAGGAAGTCAAAGTTAGAACGAAAGTGAAGAATGAAAGTCCCTCGGAGGGTCTATATATATCTTTAGGACAAAAGTTGTCACGCTACTCGTACATGAATGAAATAAAAGTCACGTCACGTTTATCATTCCCGCTGACTCGCCATCTCAAGCATCAAGATTCCCAACGGCATATCGTATATCGTATATCGTATATCTCGTTTTTAGACTCTTTCAGTCCCATCAAGATTCTCATAATCCCGTATTTTGAAAACATCTTCTCACTCAATATGGTATCAAGCATGTTAGTATGTCATTATGAAATGAAAATTGACGTGAGGAAAATTGCATGTGATTCGGGACTTGGTAGTGATCGAACTTATGTCGTTATTTTCCCGTGCGTCATTATTGTTTTTCTCTTCGGAGGTATGAGATTATCTTGTTGGTTAGGATCACTCGATGATCAGAATGTTATGGCGAGTAAGTAAGTATGGATACCTTTCTTAGTAACTGAGATTACTCGATGATGAGATATATGAATCTACTGCGCAAAGACGTCAGAGAACGGAGGAGTACTACGAGTAGAGTGTAGTGGATGGATGAATATCTTGGAATGAACAATGACGTTAACGTCCTACTGTGTTTCTCCAATAGGAAAGTAGAGGTCATCATCTTGTCACTTCCTTACCATCCATGAATCCACGAATTTTGCCTTTATGTCACATATGTGACTCGAAAGTACGTGCCTCCAACTCGTATTATTGGAAGGAAAGCTCAAGAGTGGCGTCAATCTTATCTCTCTCGGAACTTGGCAGTCTTCTTAACCCAAAAAGTTGAGATGTGATGTCGTTCAGGTGAAGATCAATGTCACCACCATCACCGTCCGCCGCCAGTACATACTGTACTGTATGTAGTACTCTAACATGAATGAAAGAACATGTATCAGGTCTTCATAATGATAGCAGCAAGAGACGAACCAGTACAGGATATTAAAACAATTATATGCATTCACAATCATCATCAACATCACAAAAAAGAAGAAAGCAAGCAAGCACTTTCACATCTTCACATCTTTCATCCCTCATCACCACTCTAACAAACTCATGATTGTCCCGAAAAGATATTAACCTGTCTCGTCTTATTTGGACTTTTTGAAAACGTTGATCGTTTAGGTGTAAAAGCTTTTCTAGCTATCGGTCTCAATCTGAAAAAGGAAGAATGATAGCTTCTGCCGGTAAAACTTTTTCTTCTTCACCTTCTCTACAACGTTTTTGACCATTGGGACTTTTAAGATTAGGATTTAAACTGAAATCAGGATTAAGACTAGGATTAGGAGTAGGATCGAAGATGTTTACAGAACGTAATGATGGTCGAGGTTGAGAAAGTTCTGCTAGAGCTGGACGATGAGGTAAGGGAGAGATTGGTGGTTTTGTAGGACTAGATGTGACCAGACGGATGGTTGATGTGACAGTGGTGAGGTTTTGATGAGAATTGGTTGTTGTAGCATGGTTCGGGGTAAGTTGATGAGATGTTGGAATAGGACCAGGATTGAGATGATCTACAGGAGGTATAGATCTGTTGGCTATCGTATTGGCTAAAGTCTCTTTTTCCGTAGATAAAGTTAAAGTGGTGATTTGTCTTTGTAATTTGGCAATCTTCTTTTCCAACTTGGTATTGGATTTATACACTTCTCGAACTCGATCATCAGCTTCGTCCACTTCTTGGACTTTTAGAGTCAGGGCGGCTTCGAGTTCTGATATGTCAGCTAAACGTTCGCTTGATAAATTCCCATCACAATGCTCTCTTAGATGCTCTCAGAAATTGCTCGTGACATGTCAGTACTCAAAGGAAGAGCAGGAGAACGAATGAAGCGGTCGTACGAGGAAGAAATCACGATTGGTAATGAAAAGTGAAAGACATGTTTTATTTGACCGAACAAAAGCTCACCTGAAATCCTCTCCTTCAATTCCTCCGTTCCCTGTCCTTGATCTACATTCGTTGCTCCCCTGATCCTCTCATTCTCCAACTCCATCACTTTCATCTCCTCTTCTGCCTTCTCGGCTCTTTCAACCAACCCTCTCATTTCGTCCCTAACCATCAACAACTCCTTTCTCAACTCATCGATCTCCAACTCCAATCTCTCAACCTCCCTCACCCTCTCCTCTGCTCTCTCCATGTCATTTTTCATCTCCCTCGCTTCTCTCTCTAGGTCATGTAATGCCTTTGTGCCTTTCAGATGAATCTCTTTCAATCTCTCCATCTCTCCTTCCACCGCTGTCTTCTTCATCACGGTTTCATTCAACTCGACGTGAAGTCCTGCCACTTGTTCCTCTAACAATCCCCTATTTTCCTCTCCAACGACAGTCAACCGAGTCTGCTCCACTAAACGTTGTTGTAGATCTTCTGCGTGACGTTGTAGATCTTCCTTTTGTATTTGACTCTCTCCCAGTTGTCGATCCAACTCCTGAACACGAACTTGTAGAGAAGTGACATTTCCCAATACTCCTTGTAGATCTTCATGTTGCTTGCTCAGTCTCTCAGTAGCAGATTCAACCTCTTTACCATGATTGGTCATTTCTTCTTTGTGTCGCGCCCGGGTCACCTCGAGCTTTTCTTGAATTTCCGATATTGTCTGAGAATGGATTCTATCCGCTTCTGCCAATGCGTCTAACAGTGTAGATACTTCAGTTTGTAAATCGAGAATCTTCCGCTCACTCTGTTGCTTTTCCGTCTGTAACGCCGATATTTGTTCAGATAGTGACAAAGCAGCTTCAGAAGTTGATTCAAGTTCTGCCAAACGGGATCGTAGCTCTTCGATAGTCTCATGAGCTCGGGTCAGATCGTTGGCAGCGACTTGAGACGATTCGAGTGCGACTTGTTGACGTCGTGTTTGTCCGGTGATCGACACGTATTCCGCCCTGGTAGACAAATACGCCTTTCTCTGTACCACCAAAGCCAAAACCAATCCATTGACCCTCATGGTCTCTTCTCCGGCGAGTGAATACCTCTCTTGCAGATCTTTCTCCAGCTCGACCAATCGTTGATTTTGAGATGATTGAATAGCGGTGGACGAAATCAGTTCATGTTGTAATTTCGTATGTTCCATCATTCTTTCTTCTAAAACAATCTTTAGTGTTTCTTTCTCCTGAACGAGTTGTTCAAGCTCTTCGGCAATCTCAGAATCTCTTGCAAGCTCTAATTGAGTTTCCAACTGTTTGATTTTATTACTTAACGATTTAATAGTTGCTTCTCTTCGACTGAGTTTACCCTCCAATTCAGCTTCACGAAGTTTACTTGTCCCTGACATACTTGAGATTTGACGTACGTGTCTTCTTTTCTCACTTGGTTCAGAGTTTGAAGCGGCAGAATGTGTTTCGGAAATTGGAGATTGAGGTGTGGCACTGAGTTCTTCCACTCGTTTTTCCAATTCTTTCCTTTGGATCTCAGATTCGCGGAGAGTTTGCGAAGTATCTGATAATTTATCTTTGAGCAATACCGTTTCATGAGATAACGCCAACAATTGTTGTGCTTGTTCTTTAGCCGCATAATTGACTTCTTCCACCTGAACCCCTGACGGGCTATGTTCTGCGGATTGTAATTGTCTTTCAAGTTCCGCATTCCGATCGATGAGATTGTTCTTCTCGTCCGATGCTGCTGCAAAGGAAACAGAAACACTTTCGAGTTTCTCGCAAACTTCATCGATACGTAATCGAAGAGAAACTTCGTCTTTCTGAAGCTGGGAAACTTCGGCGATTTTAGTCTGTAATTCCGCTCGAGCAAGGTCCAAGGCATCAAGAGCAGAACGTCGGTCGGCTTCAGCGGCGGAAAGGGCGAATTGGCGTTCGTGTTGAGCAAAAGACATCGATTGTCGAAGTTCATCTCGTTCTTTCCTCAACCGTTCAATCTTAGCATGTAACAAACCGATGTGTTGATTTTCACGGGAGTTGTTGGATATAGGATTGGTGTTTGACATCTGCGAATGAATCTGACTTTCGAGCTCATCGATCTTGCTTTGCATATGAGAGACCTGGGTCGCGGAGACTTCCAATCGACTGATCTGCTCTTCGAGTTCCGCAATCTTGGAGGAAGAATGTTTGTTATCTTGAGCTTGAGCGAATTCGACAGCAGCCAGGAGTTTCTCATATTCTTCCTTCTCCGATTCCTTTGCTCTACGAAGATCGTCAACCTGATCTTTCATTCGAAGTAGCTCCACATCCCTTTCCCTGGCTTCTGAAAGTGTTGATCTGTCTGCGGCGGCCTCTTCAGCTTGACGAGCTTCTTTCTCGAGTTGTTCGATCCGACATTCGAGGTCGATTTTCTCAGCTGCGATGTGCTCCCACCTTTCTTGCATCTCCTCCGAGAATTCGCGTTGCTTGTTCAGAGCCAACTGGGAGTCTTCAAGTCGAAGTTGCAAGGATGACGCGTGAGCTTCGGAATCTGCCAATTCTCCCTGTCGCGATCTGATGGTCAGCATCTTCCATATCACCCGGGGTGAACTGACCTCAGTTCCTCAGTGGCGACAGCTAGCTCCTTTTCATGTCGCGCTTTGAGAGATTCCAACTCTCCGATGGTCGCCTGCATCTCTGCAGCTCTGAGCAAGGTAGCATCCGCAGCCTCCACCTTCAATTGCATGGACTTGACGGCGGAGTTGGCTTCTTTCAGAGAAACTCGGAGAGCGGTCATTTCCTCAACGTCGACAGTTTGTTTCTCCAGGGCATTTTGAAGCTCGGTCAATTGCTTTTGAGCACCCTCGAGAGCCGTGGTCTTCTCCTCGACTCTCATCACAGCATCACGCTGAGCGGTTTGCAGCTCCTTGATCTGGAGGGAAAGGTTATAGATTTCCTCCTTCGATTCCGCCATAGTCGTCCGAGATGCTTCCACAGATCTCTCTTGTTCACTGCAGAGTAGTCGGGCAGACTGCAGATCGTCTTCCAAAGCCTGTCTCGTAGTCTTGAGGTTCTGTTGCTCAGTCGTTGGGTAACACATGAAGATATCACTCACATTCAACTCGGTTTCCAACCGCCCCACAACCACCTTCGCCCCGTCTGTGTCTGATAACGCCGCCTCCAATGCGGCTTGTTTCTCCCGCACCTCTTTCTCTAAGCCTTGGATCCTCTCATTCTTCTCCACCAATTCCTGTTGCAAAGCAGCCAAACGGGTTTCCAACTCTTCCACCCTTCCATCATCCGGTAATTCTGTCGGCGTGCTGAATGGTGAACGTGGCATCGGCACTCGAGCTTTTAACTTGAAGATTTCTTTCTCTTTCTCTTCCAACAAAGCTTCGTTCGCTTCTAGATCTTCTCTTGCAGCTCGGAGCTCTCTTTCGGCTCTGTCGAGTTTTCTTCTTAACGAAGCATCGGTTCCACTACCAGAAGTTCTTGTTTGAGGTACATTATTCAACTCCAACTCCAACTGTCTGACCTTGTCTTTCAGTTCATTCACCTCTTTCTTGGTATCTTCTTCATCGTCCATCCCCCCTCTCCCGACTCTGTCTTCTCGTAGTTCAGACAGACTCTCTGCCCGCTCCTTAATCACCTGTTGTAACTCTTCAATCTTACTCATATGCTCCGTCTTTATTCTCTCCAACTCGATGATGGTCCCTTTCAATCTCTCTTTTTCAGCCTCCGCAGTCTTCTTCAACTTTTCCATCTCCCTAGAAGAACCTCCATCTTCTGACCTACGATAAAAGTCGATTTCTGCAACAGCGTCCTCCAACTTACTTCTCAAATCCTCGATCTCTTTTTTGGACGTTCGTTCCAAAGCCAATTTGAAATTAACAGCTTTATCTTGTTCTCTCTTGGCTGATTTGAGCTGTTCTCTCAATGTGTCCAATTGAGCATCCGCCGGTCCCTGCGCAGATCGTAAACTCTCAAGTTCAAGTTCTAAATCACGTACTCGATTATCGGTGTTGACTGATGAAGAACGTGGACGTCTTCCTTTGTTTGCGAGGGGAATCTTAGAATTACCATTATTTTCTGCAATTTTCAAAGCTTTTTCAAGATCTTTGACTTTATTTTCTAAAAGACGACGTTGTTCAGTTAATTTGTTCGTTGTGGCATTACCATCCGAACCCAGACTTTCCAATTCTGTCCTCGTCAGCATGATCAAATTACAGGGATAGGAAGTATTATTGACCATATTGAAGTTGTTGACTTTGCTTCTCTTGTTTCTTGAGTTTATCAGCTGAAGATTGTAAGGTTGATTCGAGGTTTGAAACTCTTAATCGTAATTGACTCAATTCCTGACTTCATCAATCCCGTGATCGGAAGAAAGAGTACGATAGACTCACTCCTGTCCTTGACTCGAGCGCTTTCTCAGCTTTGGCAGCTCTATCAGCATCTTCCTCTGCCTAATATCATCAGCTTGTATCTCATACAACAATGATATGTTAGCTGACCTGTCTTTGAAGTATCTCCCTCGACCGTTTGACCTCTTCCAATTCATCCATCTTGCGCATCTTCTCATTCTGCAAAGTTGATAATTGGGCATCTGCTGATTTCAGTATATTCTTCTTGGAGTCATATCACTCACCCTTGGCTGCGACCTGAGTTTTGAGAGCTTTGAGCTCTCTGTCTATGCCGTCCCCTCCGAATATGGACATGATTGGGAAGAGTGAGTTATATCGAGCGAGAAAGACAGGCGCGTGGTTGAGTTTGTTGACTTTGCAACGGAGTCTGTGCAATGTCCGCTTACATGTCCAGATTTGCTTCCGTTCACAACCACTACCGGAAATGCAAAAAGTGAATCGTCATATGTTCATGCACTTGCTCTAATGCTACAGACGCGACCTGATACTCTTCTTGACACTTTCAGGATCTAGTACTCCCTCTGGGTATGACATGATCTGAGAAGCTGTATGCCAATGTCCCCCATCCACTACTAAAGTCGCGGCGGTTATATATGCCGCTGCGGGGGATAAGAGGAAGATGGCCGCGTTGGCAATGTCAGCTGCTGGTCAGTATCCGATTCTTTCAGCTTCTATCGAAGTAGATGATCAAGACGGTCAGTCCGGATGCAATTTTCCATGCCACAGGAGCGGCCGCAGAAAGAAGAAAAGGAGACTCACTCGTGCTTCCCTGTCGCTGTAGGGGTATCTCAGTATCGACCTTTTTGCCTTTCGGTAACAACCTATCCATTCCTTCCGTCCCAGCTATCGGTCTGAGCCTCAGCTTACGCTCTTACATAAGACCCTCTACTTTGTTGAATCATCTTTGGCAGTTGGTCACAAGCGAGTCACAATAACATCATGTCAGACAAAGTAGACAGAACAATAAGTCGAACAATGAACGAGAGAGGACATGCAGAATAAGCTGTGAGAAAACTCACCCCGGCGCTATGACATTACTCCTCACACCTCTCGGTCCTTCCTCCGCTGCCAACGCCCTACTCAACGCATCCACCCCTGCTTTGGCAGCAGATACATGAGCTTGATACGGTGTTCCACGATAATGTAAAGTCGCGCTGATGTGTATATATGACCCTCTACTTTGCCTTACCAAGGGAAGAGTGGCGCGAATGGTATTGTACGTCCCTAAAAGATCGATCTCGACAACTGTTCGGAATGCATTTTCAGAGAGGTTGGAGATCGGTGCGAGGCTAGTTGATGAGCTATTCTCCGATGCATGATTTCCACTTTGTGTATGAACGGTAGAGAAAATGAGGGTGAAGGGGGAAAGGGAGAACGATAAATATGGAAGCAGGAGTGTGAATAGGGAGAGAACACGAAAGCTTGGATGGTTTATGTATGTCATAAAGTGGAAGATATGAAAGAAACATACAAATTCCCAGCTGCTCCACAAATAACATGATCAATCCTACCAAATCTCTCTTCAGTCTTTCTCACAGCTTCCGATAAAGATTTTGGATCCCTAACGTCCGCAGCCGCAGCTAAACATTTTCTTCCCGTTTGTTGTTGTAATCTCTCAGCAGATTCTTGTAAACCTTTTGCACTATCATCAATTTCCTCCTATTTTCCTCATCTATCAGAGGCGAAATCGAACCGTAATGTGTAAACTCCTAAGCAAAAGGCATTGTTGTTCAATCCCTCTGCAGCTCGTACTTCCACGGTAGTTGATCCCCTATTTAAATCGTAGCTCTATGATAATCGGTTCATATCTCCCTCCATTGCTGAATATCGTGAGAATGGAAGGAGGTAGAAGTAGAGAATGTAAATGTAAACTCACTCTCTTCCTACTATACAAGCATCAGCCCCTAAACTCATGAGAGATTGCACGATTGAATAACAAATCCCACTTCTTCCTTCTTGTCAGTTACCATCCCATATTTTTCTCCAGTCATTATCCACAAGACTTAATCCCCTTTCCCATGATCATCTCTCCAGTAGTGTAGTATGATGGGAGGGAAGGGGATTAGGTGGTTGGAGGACTAAAAGAAGATGGAAGAGATACTGACCACCTGTACAGAAGATGACTTTGCCTTTGAATAAATCGGGTTTGAATGTCTCATTTGAGGAATTCGAAGATACTTTGGAAGACATGCTGGTTAGTGTATCGAGAGAAGAAGTAGAGATAAATATTCATCAGAGAGCGAGATGGAGAGTTGAAACGGATGGAAAAGTCTCGGTTGTTAGTTTACCCGATTGAACGGCGGGGCACCACACATTCTCACCCATTGCTACCGTCTACGGGTATGAGTAGTTTAAGTGTGAGTGACAATAAAGTGTAAAGCATACAAGAGACAAGACAAGATACCATGCATGAACAAACACAAGTACACTGTCTCTCAAATGACATCCATCTAAAGAGTATTCATACTCAGACAGTACCACAAGCTTGGATAAAACATTTCTTAGTGGGTTTACCAGTCCTATGACCGCATTTCTCAATAGCTTTAACAACGTCCATACCATTCACCACTTCTCCAAATACGACGTGTTCACCACTTTATATCAGCTCTATCATGTTCACTAGATCTGGGCTACACTTCAAAGAGGAAACAGACATGGAAATGAAAGAAAAGACTTACTCGAGCCATTCACACTTTTCAACGGTAGTGATGAAAAATTGCGATCCCATGGTATGAGGAGCAGAGTTAGCCATGGACAATAATCCTACTTCTACCAAAGTAAGCTTCCTTTTTCCATCTGACCGGAAGTTTCGAAGACTCACTGTCATGAAGCTTCTTGGGTTTCTCGTCCGAGTATTTGGAGCCGTAGATGGACTATGATCAGCCAATGGTTCGTATTCCCCACTTGGTATCCCCAGCTCGTAGTGGATAGAGAGTATTTCTTCCAGTACCTTGCGTACGAGAAACAAGATATGAACTGATGGTTCTTACCAATCCGACAAACGGATCGGTGCAGTGACTGAGAAGGAAAACAGTGGAGTGTCAAAGGGGACGAGGTACTGACGGGTAACGTGCCACAGTAAAGAATGGGGGAGAGTAGTGGAGACAACCAAGAGTAAAATCAAGAAGAGAAGAAGATGAACAAATATGAATTCAACTGTCACTCACAACTCCACCGGTTCCATCATGCTTCTCAAAATCTCCACCTTGCACCATGAAACCAGGGATGATACGGTGGAACTTGGTGCCCTGATATCCGAAACCTTTTGGGAGTTCTTTCCCCTCAGGCGTCTGACCGTCAGATTGAAGGGCTATGGACTACACAAAAGTAGCAACGCACCTTTCCTGTGCACAAACCTCGGAAATTGTTAGAAGTCTGTAAGTCAGGATCGTCTTCCTGTCGTCTGTGGAGTGAAGGAAGGTCGACAGTCCACAAATCAAATCGAAGCGTGACATTTGGGGATGTGGTGAGGGTGTGAAACGTTGGACGCGAGATGTCGGGGGTGAGTTACGAAACGGAAGTTAATGCAGCTTCCGATACTGATGGAATCTAACTATGGCCAACAGAGATATGCAAGACAAGGAATAAAAGCTTACCTTGGGAGCGACATCATCGTACAATTTGATCTCTATCCTTTGAGGTTTATCAGCTACTCATCAGCTGTAATCTCCTCGTTTGATGAATCTAACTCACTCCCGACAACTACTTCGAGAAAACAGTTCCTTCCGGTCAGCTTCAAGCCTATCGACATTGATGGGTCTGACATGCAGATGAACAAATGATGAAGAGAGAAGAGACTCACGGCTTCTCTTCAGTATCCTTATCTTTATCACCATCTTTACCCTTATCATCTTGTTTTCCCTTATTACCGTCCTTCTTGTCATCTTGTTTCACCTTGGCCCCATCTTTCTTATCATTCTTAACTTGTTCATCTTTGTTCTTATTATCGACAGCCATTTTCGATGTTAAATCTCTTGTGGTGAATTCGGTGTCAAAGTGAAAGTTTGAACTCAAGGTAAGATAGAAGAGTGACGAAAGTGACCGAAGGAAACCAGAAACAACTCTCTTTATGCCAAATGATCTGTAACGTCTCCTCTACCTCCTTTGTCGGTTTACTCCATTTCTCCTTCCCTCCATTCCGTCATTTCAGAAACCGACCAGGCGGTCCTTTGATCAATGATTTGCCAGAAAGTGCTACGTTCATCGAATCGTTGAATCGTACAGCATCTCCTTCGTCCGACATTGTAAGCGAGGTTTGGTGACCTGGTACCAATGTCCAGCTGTTGAAAGAGATAGAATTATGATTTATTATGTTGGATTGCTTTTCTTCTTAATCGTACTCCAGTCCCACGTTTCACACTCTTTATCATTTCATCCCTGGAATCGTCCTGTCCTTTATCATTTCCTTGTAAGTTGAGATCCAAAGAAGGGTCAGGATTTTCGACTTGAATCAAAGCTCCACTTCCCTTGTTCATCTCTAAAGCCATTAACCTAGCTTCTTCCCTTCCCTCATTTAAACGTTTTGTAAATCCCCAAACCACAACTCCATCAGCCACTCCAACTATCATACCGGTCAATACACCTAACAGCACTCCAGTCTCTCTTGAATAGCCAGCACCGGTCACACTGGCCCAATAGACGGCGTAGGCCGCACCAAAGATGGAGAACAGGATGTTGAGTGCTGTAGTGAGAGTCTTGCTCAAAGCTCTATATTCAGACCCGAAGGATTGAGGTGAGGCGGATAGATAGCGTGGTAAGTAAGGAGAAGGTTTATCCGGAGGATGAGAGAGGAGAAGACGTGCGGATTGAGTAGGTGGGAGGTAGATTGTGGTACCGGCTAGAAGAGCGATGTGAGAGTAATCGGTTGGGTCTGAGTGTTAGCTTACATGATGGAAAGGATAAGTCACAGAGACGGACTCAGGGAATGAGATAGAAATATCTGTTTGGAAGATTCCATCGATGCCCATCTTGAAAGACGGTCGAGCAGTTGAGCAGGGATGAGATCCGGTTCTGAGTCTTGGGCTGAAACGCCGTCGGTGGAAGTCGAAGAAGCATATTGGAAGAGTTCTTGTCGGAGGTCATGAGGGAGGGCAACGTCAGCAGCTAGTAGAGCTCTTATGCGCTTCAGAAGGTGTATAGGTAATGTGAGCTGCTCGTTGTCCATTTCCTTCTACAGAAGTACAAAACTATAAGTAAGTAGAGTATAGTGCCGAAAGTTCAAGTTGCAATTCTCACAACGCTCGGACCTCTTGTTCGATCACGTGACCATTTCTCCACCATGAACCTCGCTTACGTCCTTCACTGCCGTCCATACATACACACAAAGACAAAAGGAGTGTCAAACGGGGTTTCCACACAAAGCATCATCACTCTTCAGAAGCAATAAAGTCAGAGCACAGCATAGAATAGTCCATCTCTTCCAACCCCCACAGCTTTTCTCTCACCACACCACCACAAGAGAGTGGGACGACCAACATGGCCACTCCCAACCCAGAGGCTGCAGCCACCGCCCCGACTCAACCCCGGATCATCGACGAAAACACGGATATGACCACTTTGACAGATCAAGAGATAATGAGACTCGTGGAGGGTATGGGGCAGGAGGATGTTACAGAGAAGGTCAGTCGAATTTATTTCCGTTCCACCACCTTGCTCTGTATTCCTACTCTAAATTCCAGTCTATTTGTACCTAGAGTTGACTAGTGAGATGACTTCACGTAGGAACGTTACGAGGCGGTGTGTCAAACAAAACTGACTTGAAGCCTCTGATAAGTGCTCCGGTACCATTATTGGTCATCAGGGAAGAATACTTATCCGGTTCACCGACGGTAGTTAAGAAACTCGATTGGTTACAAGCTCACGGTTGGGATCAAGTTTGGCGTGCTAGAGGTGATGGAGATTGTTTTTATCGATGTGAGTGATAGAGTCCTTAGCTCTTTTTCTATCCTATTTGTCTCACCCCCCTTACTTTTGGTCTTCTGAGCATAGTTGATGACAACTTCACCGCTCATGATCCAAATCTTTTCTCCCATGATTGCAGTCGTGTGACTTATTATCGAAGGATACTTGAGGAGAGATCAGCTGGGAAGGATTACCATCAACTATGTCAGCTGATCAATAGCTTTCACTCTGGCATATTTACTTAGAATATTACATTCCCCCGATCCACCATTATACGCAAATTTGGCATTTGAATCTATTCAACGTGTATTGCCAATGATGAAACAAGTGAACTTTGATCCTGATTTAGTGAGTTCCTCCTTCACCTCTTGAGTCCTTCCTTTCCTACCCTTCTCAAACCTTCCTCTTCCCTTTTATCCTTCCTCTTCTCTAGCATATGTTCCCTCATATCAAGCCCCGCCTTTTGTCTGTTCTTCCCATTTCGACCACTTTTCTATAAGACACTCTCCTTTACACCACCACCTTTTTTTTCTCCCTTCATTGAATAATCAATATCGGCTTCTTTCATGTATGATCAAGTGTCTTTCCCCCCGCTGTAGAAGGATCGTCTTAAGTTAGTTTTGACTTTGTGGTGAATCGTTAAAGGGAAATGTACAGAAGGTGGTTGATGAAAGTACGAAGAATTCCTCAATCCTTTATTAGAAATGATACAATCGTTCTCTCCTCAAAATACCTATGCGGAGCCTATCACGGAATACGCATTGATACAAGCATTACAAGATGCAGAACGAAGTAACTGTATAGTGGTTGTGAGTATTCTTCCACCTTCCACCTTCCCCCTCATTTTTTCTTCTTTCATTCACTCCTCCCTTTTCCCCCTTTACCTTGACCTCGACACATCCCTCAGTTGCGACAGATAATCTATCGTTCTATCCCTCATCTTTGAGCTTCCCTCACAGTACAACAATCCCGTTCATCATCCCAAACCTCTATATCATCACAACCAGATTGAATACCTTATCACCCTCCAAAGTCCATCTCATCCGAACATTTTCCCTTATGAACATCAGAGTAACAGATATACAAAAAGGTCTTGTGTATTTTGAATAAGAAAATCAAGGTAGACTAAATATCTTCAGGCACTTCGTCTCATAACATCAGCATACATACGTACAAATTCTCAAGCTTTCGAACCATTCCTCCTTTCTCCTACCACGTTCTTACCTCTTTCAGCGGATGATTTCTGTAGACAAGAAGTTGAACCATGTGGAAAAGAAGCCGATCAAGTTCAGATAACTGCACTTTCAGAAGCTTTAGGTGTAGCGGTAAGGATAGCATATTTAGATAGATCAGAGTTGGTCAATGAAGAAGGTATAAATTGGGTTGTTTTTGGTCCTAATTCTGTTTCTATCACTTCGACCACTTCGACTACTTCGGCTTCTTTTGCTGTTGAGAAAGTCGGTGGGGGTGGGGTTCAATATGAAGAAGGGGTTGGAAGAGGAGTTCAAGATGAAGGGGTTGGAAGAGGAATTCAAGATGAAGGTGTTAGAAGAGGAAATAGAGATGAAGCGGGAGAGGGAGAAGGAAAAGGAGACGAAAGACCTTTAACTTTGTTATATAGACCAGGACATTTCGATGTGGTTACGAAAGATGTTTTACCGATCATATGAAACTATTGTTTAGTTCAGTTGTTGTATCTAAATCATAAGCATGTCATCCATCTTTGTGATCATATGACATTCAATCTTTCTTTTCCTCTTTGGCTATCATATCCTCATGGTCAATTACGACAAACTCGAATACAGTCGAAGCTGTGAAACTCGATAGGCTTCCGTACCCCCCAAAAGTGATCAGATTTCACATATGTATCAGTTGAGAGGGGAGTTTGGCTGGGAAAATATCATTGGGTTCCAAAGAAATCAAATCGACTACCACAGCGTATCACGTTTGATGGCTATCGAGTTTGACAGCTTCGACTGTATCAGTATTTGATGATGGTCCAACACTAAGCACTTTCTGTTGCTTGCCTCACTCGAGAGCTTTTTTGATACTTAAACCTATCAGTCAGAGTTCCATCAAGTGTTCAAGTGATAAGTAATACGTATGTACACACTCCTTGCTGAAGATAAATCACGTCGTCTCGCATATTGCATATTGCATATGTATTCGAGAAAAAAAATCTCAGAAGATCTTTTATCACCTACCCAAAGTCCCTCTGAGAGCACGTAACAAATCACTTCCTCCATTCTTTTCACCTCCCTGTCCTTGTTTCTCCTCAATATCAATCTCAACATTTTCATCCACTCCAACTCCAACCTCACTACGTCTTCTACCTAATTCTGAACGTAATCGAGAATAAGCAGGTTCACTAATAACACTTTGACTTGAAGATATTCTTTCTTCTTGTCCTGGTTTACCTTTTTGAGATGAAGATCTTACATGTCCCGATATGTTCTTTCCTGGTCGAATTGGCATATTGACTTTGGTTGCGAATCGCTCATTTGTGAAATCTGAAAGACGGGGAGATGAAGTGGTTAGAGATCTATTGGGGATGGAAGGGTTTGAAGTTATTCGACGTGGGTAATCTTCTATTTGTTTGGTAGATGGACGAGAACGACGTATACGTCTGTCACTATCAGGATACAACTCCGAGAGGGGAAGAGAGGGAGGACGACTTACGTGCTTTTAGCTGCTTTACGGAGAAATTCGTCTCTCCATATATCAAATGCTTCCTCTGATCATTAGACTGTACACTTGTCACATAGTTCTCTCAACCCATACTCAATAACTCAGAGAAGGGGGAGATGTCAACCAGAGGCGAGACAAGCCATGTTCAAGAAGTAGCCTTTTCACTGTGGGAAGATAGAGGGGTATTGAATGTATGAAGGGAAGAGGGTAACACTGACCTATTAATTTACGATCACGAGGATACGAACTATCTTTTTCCTTATTAATCCATTGTAACTCTTCCCGCCATTGAATCCATACACGTAATTTAAGATGTTTATTCCTAAAAATGACAGCGGGTAATTGACTACATCGACCTTTCCATTTATCCCAAACGGAAAACATGATAGCATCTTCATGTCGCATAACAACTTCTTCTTCCTTTCATATTCAGTGATCTTCCACATTTATCAGAAGGTAAACTTACAACTTCTCGTAATGTACTTTCTTTCCATTTCCCATGCCAGATAGATAATGCGTTTTTCAAAAGAGACGTCTCTCGTTGTTGTTCAAGCTCTTCAAGAGCTAGACGTCGAGATTGTGAAGCAGAGGCGACTTGATGCCATCGACGAAGGACACGACGAAGGGAATCTTCAATCAGCACCACGTAACATCAGACTTGACTTCCCATAGTCATTGGGTGGAGATACAGGGCAATGAAAAGGTCGGGAAAGAAATAAAGGAGATACATACCTTCTGCTTTGAGATCCATAAATGTATGCATGAGATCTGTGGCATCTTGTACTCTTTTAAATTGCGTGCGCCATTTGTCCAAGGCCTGACTGTTACATCAATATACTTTGATACACTTCAGAGTCAAGGAGAAAGACATACTGCATAAGTCTCATATCGCGCTTCTCCACTTGTTCCAATTCGCGCATTTGAACATGCATAAAATTCTCAGCCCATTGATGTAAAACACGTTTCTTCAGATTCTGTCTCTTTAGCTAGTTTCACCAGAACACCAGCTTACCCTGTCTTGGAACTCTCTGAAAACAGTCACAGCTGCTTCCGATCCGGAAGTATATGTAGACCATGCCCGCCAAGCTGATCATCAGTCGTGTTTTCTATGATGCGATATTTCGAACTCACCATCAAAAGCATCCTTTAGTTCTTTCATTTGCCGTCTTCGTACCATTTCAGCCTGACGTTTTAGACGTAGTTTCATCCGCCATTTATCCCACGCCGACGACAAGCAAAAGAACGCATATGCCTTATCTGCTTTCTTTTGATCATCGATAACTTTCGTCCCTTGATCACGCCACTTCACCAAGGATTTTGACAGAAGACGATCATCTTTGATATTGAGCAACAAATCAGCTTGGAGAACGCGATTTTGCTGTCGACCGCACTGATCTCTCCAACGAGAGAAGATCCGATGGATTGTCTTGTAGTTTTGTTCACCCCGAAATTGCGCAACTTGATCTGACATTGTCAGCTGACCTTAGCCGGACAGTGTAAGCTGACTCACGATCGAGCCGACTGACGTCGTCCAGACGAGCCTCCCACCGAAGGACTGATCGCCGGAGAAGTCGTCTTTCCGTCACGCGTTGCAATAATTCCCCTCGCCCGGCCACAGCCCATTGAGTGAAAAGCCGTCGGATGAGTGTAGTATCCCGATGACGGCTAAGTTTATTCGCCCTGAGTTGAAGACTCCGAACATGTTGCAATTTCGTCGCCATTAGAAAACAAGCTGCGTGATGCAAATTGGTCTGCCTGATGAATTTGCTCACTACATATTAACAGACTATCACAACTAGAAGATCCTCAACTCACCTGCGGAGTCGCCAACCTTGTAGTGCATGTCGAAGGAGGCTTTTATCCTTTCGAGCACTGGTCACTCTTTCCGGCCGAGCGAGATTTGACTTCAGACGCCACAAAGAGAATGAGTCGGATACTAGTTTCCTTTCTGTATTCTCTCTGAAGTACGCCAATTCCGTCTTCAACATCGTTTGTTTGTGCCATTGGCCAAGAGCAATATGCAGTGTTTTGCGGACATAGAGTTGGTCGGCAGCGCGAGTATTAATGAGGGTTCTAGTTTTCCCTCGCCATATCTGACATGAGCAACAATTCACCAATTTAAGAAAGATACGAACGGTTAAAACTTGATTCAGCATCGCACGATTTTTGCGAAGCACAAACGTTTTCTCTTGATGGAGTAAATACCGTTCCAATCTCGCCCTACGTTGTCTGATGAACTTCAGATTCCACGTCGCCCAAGTCTTCTCCAATATCCTGGCACGTTGAATGGCCATGAATTGTTGTTGCTTTCTTGCCAAATCGGCATTCTTCCATCTCGTGATCCACAGGTCCAGATACTTGCGCTTCAAGTGTTGATTCCTATGAGCTTCTGCAGTGTTGGGAAGGGAGAGTCGATAATTCAGTTCACGACGCCAACCAATTAACATCTGACGGAGGAGAACACGATCTCGAGCTTGGTCGATTTTCCTATTGGTTTCCTAAGACCATCAGTATTTATATCTCCATGCTATCTGCCACGTACCTGTACCCAGTCGTGAGCCTGCACCCAGACATCAAGACATCGTCCCAACAATCCAGTATGATAAAAATGATCCGCTCGCTGTTCAAGAGCATTTACCAAAGCCTGACTCAACACTCTTTCTTGTCTCTTCGGTTGCGGTTTTGGAGTCTGAGCCCTATCTTCATATCCAGTCTGAGTGAAGAATTCCGAGCTAGCACCAGTGACATCCAACTCCACGCTGATATCCGACGCGGAATAAGGCGGGAGAGCAGGACTGATACGACCTTCTTGAGCATGTACGGGGGTCGAAGTTCGTACAGGAGGATCGAGAGTGATGGTATCGTAATCTATCGATTGACTGGGAGTGTATCCGACCAGCGAACGAGATTTTGCGTAATCTCTGGCTAAGATTTTTCTTGGAGATGGACGAATGGATTTGATAAAACTTTGATCTCCACCCGTGTCCGATGTGTCGGGAAGGAAACCCTCGTCCAGATCTGAGCTTGCTGAAGCTAGGAAAGGAAGTCTAGATTTCACGTCTGATAAATGTGGGATCCTGATGGATTGGCGAGTGGGGGAAGGTGGAGAGTAAGTGGGTTTCACAGGTTTATGAGCTGCTCTCCAGAGATCCCATCGTTCGCCCCAGGTTGCCGCTCGGATGTTGCCGACTTTGAGAAGAAAACCATAGTAGGCTGTGTCGGCGGATGGAGTGATGCCGCTGAGTGGTCAGTTTTTGTCATATTCAGATTGGAGAGCTCTAAGGAAGTTCAGACTTTGAATAGTGCTATGAGATGACATTGGTATGAACTAGGAGGAGTGAGGCAGCTCAGAAGCACTCACTGGTCTTCCAAAACTTCATTGTAAGCACGCAGGATGAGAGGGAAAGTGGTAGCACTTCTCGGAGCTCGTTCAATGATCCGATTGACGAGCTCCAAATCCACGTGTTCGCTGACGGAAGCTGTCGAGTTGGAGAAGACCGAGCGAGTGGACGCCGTCAGGAGGGACATCATATAGTAAACATGAGAAGAGATAGAGAGAGAGGGTTGTTGTAGAGAAACAAATCAAACTCGTCCTCGTCGTCGCGTCTTCGCTTTGGCCGGTGCATCGTGGACTTAGCCGCCACAGCACCCACACTCACTCACTCTGCCATCCTTCTCACACTTTTCATACCATACTATTACTCGCATTGGGATCACTTGTCACTTAGTTTATCATCACGGAAGATCCATAAAATACTCGGGAAAACCAACATGGCTGAACACAATTTCTCAGCGGCGTTGACGACATGGAAAGGTCAGCCGTCCTGCGGCCTTAGGGCAAAGCTGATCTGGCAGAGATCAATCTTTCAGAGCTGCAGAAGTCTCTTGATGCCACAGCTCTCGAGCTAGTGGAGAATCAGAAAGAGAATATGGTGGGTAGGAAGAAGCTGGCAGAGCAGACGAGGGGTGAGGTACCACTTCTGCCCTTCTCCTTCTCCACTGCCTCTGGTTCACTCCACCCCACTTGATTCATGGTAGTCGGCACCGGCATATCCGACAAGGTCACCATGACTGACCCATGACAGAGTTCAGAAAGATGCCAGACGACAACGAAAAGCTCAACGCTATCAAGACCCTCCTCAAAGCCTATCAAACGGAGATTGACTCACTGACACGTCGGTCAAAGATGTCAGAAACGTCATTCCTCAACGTTTACAAACTCCTTTCCGATGCGCCCGATCCGTATCCCCTCTTAGATGCAGCGGTGGATCAGACTGTCAAAGTGGCCGAGGCTAGAATGTTAGAGTCGGAACTGAATCGACTGCGAGAGGAGAATGGCGAGTTGAAAAAACAGACTGCGGATCTGGTGCAAGTCGAGGATAAGAGGAAGAAGGCGGAGAGTAAAGCAGAGCAGTTAGAAGCAAAGGTTCGATTATTTTCTTGCCTGTGATATATGAAAATGCTGATATGGTCAGATGGACGAGTTGATACAAGAACGAGTCACGCAAAAGGAGAACGAGCTGAATGCCGAATACGACGAACGTATGCGGAATTACGAAGAGAGGTGAGTTTTACACGATGCTGCAGAACTCAACTCATCGTTTGTAGAGAAAAAGACCTGCAGAGACAAGTCCAAACTGCTAAAAATCAACTTCGAGATTTGCATACTAGCAACGAAAACACACAGGCCAAATTACTCGATGCGAGTGAGAGACAAGAACAAGATGTCGCTGCCAGGTTGGCGGAGTTAGACCTCGTCGCGGCCGATCTGTCAAGGGCGAACGAGCGTGTGGCTACCGTAGAGAGAAGGAATGTCAGTGATCCATCTGTCTCTTTGGTGGGAGATGCTGAACCAAAAGGAGTTGTTACGATCAGAGATCGAATCTGTCAGAAGCGGATCCGCTCAGGCTGATAGGTTAGTTGATTGATGGTTTATTGGTACCTTTTGCGAACATACTGATGAAGTAGGGTTAAAGCTCTGGAATCTCAGATTTCAGAATTGGAAGCGGAAGCTTCACGACTGTTGAAGGCTTTGGAATTGGTCAAAGAGGCTAAAGCCGAGAGTGAGCGAAGTCAGCAGAGAAGGTTGGACGAGACGGCTAAGGAGCTCGCATCGCAGGTGTGTCTATGCTTGATGCCTCACACTTGTCTCAGCTACCTTTGTCATGCTGCGATACGGATCGCTGACTCGTAGGCGGCGGAAGTCGAGCAACTGAAGAGCAAAGTGAAGCAGTATAGTGATTACGATGAAGTCAAGAGAGAGTTGGAAATCATGAAGGTAAATCCTTTCCTTGGGTCTTTATCACTCCCATGGATGTTCCATGTGATTGGACTATCAAGTTCAGCAGAGATATCAAAGACTAAAACGTAGTATGTGGAATTCTCCGGTGGTGATATGGACGATCCCGACTCTGAATCTGTCTCTCTTCCAAACCCTAACGCATCGTTAGCCAACAAACAATCGAACCGATCTCTGGAGAATCTACTAGTGGCGAAGAATCGTCGGTTGTTAGAAGACGTGACTCGTCTGAGAGTTTCTTTCGAAGACCTATCTGGACAACATTCAAGGAGCGAGGAGATGTTGGACAATCTGCAGAACGAATTGAACCGACAGAAAATGTTGAATGAGAAGTTGGAGAATGACTTGTCGTCGATTAATAAGGAGAATGGGACGGGAACGGTACCCGGAATGGGAACTCCTGCTCCTGGTTTGGCAGGATTGGATATTGGGGGTAAAGTCGTGAGTCGTCCTAATTCTCCTTGTAACCTCACTTCTCGCGATAAGCTTCATCACAATCACTCCATGAATCTTATTGATCTTCCTAAACTTCATCCTCCCTATCTTCAGTGTCCACCGAGCTGGGATCTGCACAGGCATCATTCCGAGACTGATCAGTGTACTCTACTTTGCTCAGAACACAGGGCATAGCTTCAGATAATTCATCAAGTAATAGAACTAATAACCAGGACGGTAGAGCTTCTCCAGCAATAACAAACGGTGATACTTCAATCCTACCCATCGTAACATCTCAAAGAGATCGATTCCGTCAACGAAACGCCGAATTAGAAGAAGAACTTCGAAAACAATTCGAAACCATTTCCGATCTTCGAGCAGAAGTGAAATCTCTTCAAGGGGATAATCTAAAATTATACGAAAAAGTAAGGTATATGCAAAGTTATAGAGATACAGTTCCTACAGCCGGACCGAGCGTAGGTTTAGGGAGTGTGATGGGAAGAAGAGAAGATGAAATGGGAAGGTATAAAGATAAATATGAAGAAAGTATGAATCCCTTTGAGGCGTTCAAGGGACGGGTGAGTTTTGATTATATATCTTTTATTTCTTTTCCCACTCCACTACTTCTCTGTTGCTGGGTATATTGCCTTTGAGATGATCTGGGAATTTCTGGTCTTTTATAATTAAGGAGTGTTGAGATTTAAAGATGAGTGATGTGTCTAAGAGTTTCGTTGAATTTCGGGATGAGGGATGTGATAATGTTTCGAAATTCGTCGATGCAGTTTGAGGTGGAGCGCTTGAAGAGAAACCAAAAACCTCTGTGGTGTATACGCCTAACATCAAATTTCCATCCTGCAACAACGACCAGAGGGAAAGGAGCAAAACGTAATCCCTGCTCTTATGGTGGGAATAGGAAAGATGGAAAAGTGCGAAGTCGAAAAGAAAGCCGAGAGCTGATAGTTTAGGAAGCACAAAGAGCTATTCAAGCTCTTAATCCACTAGAAAGAGCGGTTTTCGCTTTGACCAGAGCTATAATCGGTAATAAAAGAGCTAGGAGTATGTTTATTTTATATGCTGCTTCAATAGTGAGTTTTCGTTTTCTTCTTCTTTCCCTCCTTTTTCCCTCATCCTTCTCTTTCATATCTCTTCTTTTCTCCTTCATTCTCTTTTTCCTCTTTCCCGCTTCTCACTTCATTGTGTTCGTCTTCTGACCTTCTTTCCTACCCCTGACCACTTCTTCCAACATTTTCTATACCATGTATCGTCTCTTGGCTTCCATCTCCCTACCCGCCCCTGAGAAGCGATGAGCTGCTCGTGCACCAATAATCTCATTCGACCTTGGACATTGAACCATACTAACATTCAGCATCTCCTCATTCTATTCGTTTTATGGAACACAATGTCAGCTTCTGATTCTTCCGGTCCTCCTATACCTATTCAACCCATTCAATGAATATCATTACAATTTGTATATGAGCAATGTATGCATGATACTAATTCTTTTTCTGCACATTTACAAACTTGCTTTTGTTCCTCAATCTACAACTTGTCTCACCATCCATCCAGATTCATATCATATGTAATTTGTTGAGGATGTTGAATCGATGTCTACAGGCATAAATTCGAGTTTGAGATCGATAGACGGATGACATGATAACTTGATCAAAGATTAAGGATTTGCAAATTTCGCTATACGACGTCTACGTATTTCCTCTGTATATCAGCCTATCACGCACTCTTCTCATACATTCAAAAACTGACCAGGTGAAATATCTTCAGTTGGACCATCATCTTCATCTTCCACAATCACTGGTTCCGTCTCTGATTTATCCTTCGCCGTCTCAGGGACTTTTCCTGTTACCGGGTTTGGCGAGACGGTAGTAGCAGGTAAAGCTGGAGGTGAAGAAACTCCAACACCAGAAGGAATAGCAGGTAAAGAAGGTTTCCTTGGTATTGGTTTAATATCCAATTTTGGAGCTTCCCATCCTTCTGGTAAATCTTCCATACTGGCTCTTAAAGCAGCTTGAAGAGCTTGATCTTCATCATCATACCTCCTGTTATCATGTCTGAAATCCATCGGGACCATGTATGTTTCATCTACTTCTTCATCCTCTTCTTCTTCCTCTGGAGTTTGGAGAGGGTCAAATAATCGTGATGCAGGTTGGGGTTGTGGGCGAGATCTAGGAGCGGGAGAGGGAGAGGGAATCATTTCCTCTAAAGTCTCCGGGAAAAGATCTTGTTCTCGTGGAGGCGGTCTGGATGGACCCGGGGGAGCTGCGATAGGAGGGGAAGAAGGGACTGTCCAGACTGTTGCGGGCGGAGGGGAGGGGTCTACGGATGGTTGATCGGGGTTAGTAGAGGCTGTTAGTCAATTCACGCGTTATTATGGCTGATTGACTTGGTATTAAAAATTCACACGTCGTCAAAAGTCCTCCGAGTGAAGATGACGAAGGAGGGATGAACGAACAAGGGTGAAGAGGAGATGTGTAGAGAAGAGATGCAGTAGGGAAAAGGAGACACGTGGAGAGAAGAAGCCTATAGAAATCAACTCACGTCCAGGATTAGGCTGATCAGGATGCCCAAAACCACCTCCACCCGTTCTTCCAGTCGGTTCACCCAATTGTAATGCCATCGCATCCGCAGGACTCTCAGGCAAATGTGCAACACCACCATCACCCCATCCTTCCCCTTCTGCGAGACCTTCGGCAGAACGACGTACACAGAATACCGAATACCCCTCTTTCTCCGCTTGGGTAAGTACAAGACGAAGATAAGTCGGGGAGATCCATTCTGGTCCTTCGGGAAGGAAAGAATTGAGATTGTACCATCTTTTGGTGGTTGAGAATCTACGAAGACTGAACCAGTGAGAAGAGAGGTTGAGTATGAATCCTGCTTGTTGTCTGTACTTCAGTCCAACTCGACTGTTCCCTTTCTGATCTCCTCATCTCATCTCCTCTCATAGGTTCACCAGAGGGTGAAGGGTGACACCACGTGGGAAAATCTGGCAAGGGGACTGTCTTCCATTACAAAGGAGCCAAGGATGGTAAGACATATCTGGAGCGCAGTTCTTTGTCAAAGACGAAAAGTGGGAGTTGATTGAAGATGAAAAGACGCACTCGGGGAACTCTTGATAATCCCTCATGGCTTCTCCTCGCCATCGGACCAGTGTCAAGTCCCATACTTGCAATGCACGTTCCAACACGGAGATTGAAAAGAATCCAGTGTCATCGTAGTTGAAAGATTTAGTGTTTTGTCTCGAGGGAGATAAAGTGGCGTTCTCTGCCAGATCGAGGCTGCTTGTCAACGATGTTCTCGTATCAGGACGATCCGACGTGTAGATAGGGTTAGGAAAGGGGAGGAACACGAACTTGTGAGCCAAATCAGCGAGGTCAAACTCGCTGTATGTGTGCTGCTGTAGCAAGTTGTTTCTGAGAGACCTTCAGTATAACCAAAGGTGAGATTGAATGAGATGAAAGCTCACAAGCAGTGCTGAGCACCTGGAATGTCAGCAAAAGGAAGAGAAGGACAATGGGTTAGAAGGACGACTGACATAGCTGTGATCCTGGTTCTTGGTCCTCCCAGTAGATATCTGAAATCAGTAAGGAAAGTAAAAGACAAGGGGAGCGTACATGGCACGAGATCCATGATACTGGTGACTGAGTTGAGAGTAGTTGAGGTCAGCCAGTCAGTAGAAGAGGAGACAGGGAGGGAAGAAGAAACGTCATCACATCCGTCACGTGGCCGGCTCAATCGGTCCCACAGTAAAGAGGGGACCATTTAAATTCGATACCGCCCTTCAACCCGACGCGGTCAAGGGGGATACCCCTTCCTATGTAAAGTATCTTGCATCCAAGTCTACTGTTGATACCTACTACAGACTCTCTTGTTCGGCCGCGGTGACACCTCAAGAGCGCACGTTTATACAACAGAAGGGGAGAGCAGTGAATAGGTGGACTGGAGTGAGGGGAGTGAGTGAGAAATTTCCCGATTTGGTGTAAACTCGAGTAAAAGTAAACACGCGGTCGCGAATGATTTTTATGACTTTACCCTTCCCACAGTCATCAATCACAGATACAGTATCTCACCTTACACTTCCCATACACCTCATCTACTTACACTCACTCTTCACTACTCTCTCTGCTTCTGATTATTCATCTATTCTTTCTTCACATTCATATCTCACTCAAGATCGAAAACCATCGCTTGATCGACCAACCGTCGACCGCCTGGACCGCCGTCAACCCTCTATCTCAATTCGACCGCATCCAGACCCGGCTGTGAGAAACACGGTGGCGACTCGACTACTCGCGTATCTTGGACCGATATCATCCCGACAGCTGTGATCGTACAGGAGTAGCAAACCAGTACTAGACGAGAAGGCAGTCAGAGACGCTTCCGTTTACATTATATATCCTCACACGTTTCAATCAAAACAACCTCTTCCGTCAATATCATCAACACGACGCAAGCAGCATCAACAATCATGGCATCTAAAACTTCTACCGCTCCCCAACAGGCAAATGTCGGTGGGACGTTCAAGCTACCCAAAGCCCGAAATCGATCATCTTGGTTCAATCCATCCTTCAAGTCTTCATCATCTTCTTCCTCTTCTTCTTCCACCCCAGCTTCTTCTTCATCAACATCTGTTTCCGCCTCAGCCCAGGTTGGCATCTTCGGCACTCCAGCAGGTTCATCTTCGGGTTTGAGTCTTTCATTATCACCCACGAACCCTTTCCGAATCCGAACTCCTTCATTCCCTACGTCAAAAGGTAAACACAAATTGTCTCCTTCACCTTCTCCAAAACACACAGAGGAAGATTTCGTCATGATTTCTCCTGTACAGCCGCCCAGACTTTCACTCACCATCACCACACCTCCTTCGGCATTTTTCAATCCTGCACCTCGTCCACATCCTCAAATGTCACTTGCCATGGTACGAGAAGATTCGTCATCCTCCTCCTCTCCTCCGGAAGAATCCCCGACACCTTGTGTTGCCAGTGCGGCCGCACGACTCAAACTTGCCGATGATGAGAGTCCTATACGTCGGGTACCAGGACAAAGTAGATCCTTGCGTCAAGTATCAGGTAGTATCATGGGAGAGCGAAAACCACCTGCGAGTCCACTCAAATTCTCGACTGTCAATCTGAGTATGGATGAAGAAATGGAGGATGATGATCCACCCATGCCAGAAACACCTCTTTTACCCCATGGACCGCACTCACATACAATGCCATTATTCCCTCTTCGTACCTCTATCTCACAGGAGAGTAATACTTCAGTCTTCCTCGGAAAACCAGCCTCCTCAAATCTAGATCTTCCGCAGTCCGGACAGCTTTCTACCCTTAGCTATGATCAGCAAAATCAAGAAGTCTCCAACACATCCGGCGCCGGTTCTCGCATACCTCGACTCTCTGCTTCCCACGCTCTTCGGCCACGTTCATCAGTAGAGGCTCAAAAAGCCCTTCCGACATTGACACAGAAGAAAGCTGCGTCGCTCGGCGAGATACAGTCCATGTCAAATAAGGATGAACCATTCGGTTCTTCCTCTACCATTCCTTTCTCTGCCAGTCTGCCCAAAAAGTCTCGTCCTGGGTCAATGTCTCTTACCGTGGCACCCGGTCGTGCACACAAGCGGATGAACTCTGGAGAACACTCATCGTTCGGTGTAAATGGTGCTGCTGGGATAGGATCTATCTCAAGGTCATTCGGACAGAAGAACGGCCTAGCTCTATCCCTCTCCCCAGGCCTGGGTCATTTACCTGAACTCTCCACCAGTAACTCGAGTATCACATCAATGTCCGCGACCACCACAGTCAGCACTCCACCTCTGAGCTCTTTCTCGCCTATGGAACCGCCGATATTCGAAAACGTCAAACCCCTTCAGGAAGCTTTTCAAAGTTCAACTGCGACAGTAAGTAGAAAGTTCAAGCCTCGAGATTCCGGCGTCGCCATGGAAGATCAATCACAATCCTCCACCGTCTCTGCGAAATATCCACCCAATCCCTCCGCAATCCGCAATCCCTTCGCTACCAATACCAATAACTCTCCTGCAATGGATATCGGAGGGAAGACAATGGGTCCACCCTCCATGCTTCGAATCAATACCCGACCTCCTCGCAGACCGTCAATGTTGAAACGAACCTCCTCTATGGGAGATGAACGTCCTCAACCGCAAGAAGTCGAGACACCGTCAGTGGCATCTAGCATGCAATCTGGCTGGCCTGGGGCCTTTGGATTCCTCGGTGATGTTGGCGCGCAGATAGCTTTGCCAATCAGTCACGGGGATCCGAAACCGTCTATGCCAGGAACGCCAGTGAAGAAATCTGCCTACGCTCCAAGAGTTACGCATTCTCGCTCTCACCCCACCTTGCCGTCAGAGTCTGAGAGTATAAGCGAAGGTTTGAACGGGCAAGTACCGTTAGGCGATTCAACACGGCACAATATGCCCCCTGTCACCAGACTAGTACCTCCTAGTACTACTAAGAAACCTTTTGGACATTTGAAGGGCACTGGGTTGGCCCTACGGACCGCGGCAATGGAGATGGATAGTAGTCCCGAACGAGATGGGAGTGATCCAGCCAGTCCGACTGCCAGACTCGCACCTGTCAGTGCTATCAGAATAGGAGGTATGAGTCAACCGACTGGGACAGTGATTCTGTCACGGGTTGGGACACTTGAGAGAATGGACGAAGCGATGGGCGCTGAGAGTGATGATGAAGTTACTCCGACGAAAAAGTCTGGCACTGGAGATCAAAAGCCTTTAGCTCGTAAGTCATTTGCATCATCTCCGTTACCAGGAAATTTAAGTTGTATGATATCAAGGACACTGCTGACTTCTCAGCCCCACGAACAAATCTCATCTCTCCCACACCATCCCCACGTCCTAGGGCAAGCACAAAAACCGGAAGCTACAGGCCGACGGGTAACCCCACCGGTCCTAATGGAACTATCATGCCTCGACTCTCTCTGCCGGCTTTTGCTGCCCCCAAGATCCATCGCGCGCTCCATCATCGTCAGAGTCACCCTGCCACTTCAGCACAGTTCGCCGACGACGACGTGTTCGAACGCAAATTCATCACGCTGGAGACTTTGGGGAAGGGTGCATTCAGTACAGTTGTGAAGGTTCAAGAAAGACATGGAGATGGTTTGTTTGCGGTGAAAATTGCTCGTGGAGTATTTGACGGTGTCAGAGATAGGTGAGTCTTTGGTCAAAAATACGAAGAGGTGTTACTGATGACACAGGTTGAGACATCTTGAAGAAGTTGACATACTTCGTCACCTTAGTAAAGAACCTAGTAATCATGTCATCAGGTTCGAAGATGCGTGGGAGCAAAATCGACAGTTATTTATTCAGACAGAATTGTGTCTAGGAAGTCTGTTGTTCTTCCTGGAAGAATACGGCCAAGTTGTGGAACGTATGGACGAAGCGAGAGTCTGGAAAATCGTCAGGGAACTGAGTGATGTGAGTGCCCTGCTGAATAGATAATGTGAGTTGTGCTGACATTCGCAGGGCATCCATCACATTCACTCTCACAATGTGATTCATTTCGATCTGAAACCTGCCAACATTCTCATCTCCCCTGCTGGTTCACTCAAGATTGCCGACTTTGGACTCGCCGCGCGCTGGCCGCGTGTGACACCACAAGAGGTTTTGGAGGGATCAGGTCTGGGTGGTAGCGTAGCTGGGATCGGGTTAGGTTCACCGGAGAAGCTAGAAAGGGAAGGAGATAGAGTTTATATGGCTCCTGAGATGTTGAGAGGAGTATTTGAGATGGCTGCGGATATATTTTCGTGAGTCTATCGCTACAATCATGTCCTTTCATCATCTTCAAGTGACTCGATCGTCCCTCTTCTGGCCACACGTCCAATGCATCTTTAGGACCTCGTCGAATCTCTAATAGTTGTGAAGACGAAGCAGCAGCTGATCGAAGCAGATTCGGTTTGATCGTTTTGGAAGTATCTACCAACATTTGCGTCCCTGACGGTGGTCTCTCATGGCAAGCCATTCGTTCCGATGATTTCTCAGTGGTGGACTTATCTCCCCTCTCTCCCGCCTTGACAGACCTCATCACTCAATGTATGCGTTCTCATCCTTCCCTTCGACCAACCAGTCATCATCTAGTCAGTCATCCGGTCATACAACGTGCTCGAAGTGGTGGTACGGCATTGGCACCTGAAGAACCCATGTGGTTGGTGGAAGTATTGACAGGTTCTGGATTTGTCGCACCTCCTATTAGAGGTGATGGGGATGTGGAGATGTTGGATGGATGAATCGATCTCATTTCACAACTCACTTCGACATTTATCAACGAGACGTTCGACGTTCGACGTTCGACGTTCGACGACGAGGAATACGCAAGATAAAGCTATTTATTCCCATGTGATCGGTAGGAAGTCTAGTGCTTTGGGAGGAGGAATATTGCAACATAGATACCATCTCAGGACGAGAACAGTTGAAAGCGTGGAGGTGGAGGAAAGGGACGGGCTCAAAGAAGAGGAATATCGAAGATTCGGACAAAGAAGGAAAAGTTGTAATTATCCAAACCCCGCTCATCTGCCATGCCGTACATATTCCCCAAACCACACTTGTGCAATTCATACAAAATACATATTCTTGTTCAATATCAAAGAGAGTTTCGAAAACAGTGTGGATCGTGATGATGAAGATTGTAGATTTAGTCAATGCTTATAGGGTTCTATGAATCTCATGTGATGTCATGAACCAATTTCCTTGTTGGCAGTCATGGATATGAAGGCATACCTCACGATTAAGCGCAATAACCTTCCTCTTGAAACACCATTGGGGGAAATAGATATATATGAACAAGCTCGTTGGAAGGTGAGAAACCTCAGATCTGGACCTGGTTAGTAAATGATCCATGCAGTCAAGTCACATTCTAACGTTGACATTGAGGGATGTCGGTAGAATGAGAAGGAAACGTGTAGTAAATGTGGGGTTAGGGGCAATGATGGACTCACCTCCTTTGTAGAATCTTCTCCATTCATGTTTGAGAATCTAGAAAGTACCATCCTCCACTAGGTCTGAAGATGTATATCCATTGTACTCGTCTCCTTTTTGACACGACGGAGTTACGAGACGTGCACCGCCCCTCAAAGAACGTTATATACTCATCTTGTGGGATGGACAGGGTGGTAACAACCTCTTTCCTTCATATCATATATAATTTTATTTATTGACAAATCTCATCATTGAAAACATGGACGATGTAAGAAACCATGGTAGAATCAGCCTTCGTCCAGACATAGTTGGCTTTGACACGAGTACCCTCCCCATGCCCTGGTCGCCGGAACCGGAACCGGTAGTAAAGGAGGAGTCATCGCGGAATGAACGTGATCAAGGTGAGCTACGGGCACCATGGTGGGTAAACACATACTTAGCTGATGGTCAGAACAAGAACATCCTCATGATGATGTACCAGATGATCCCACTGCATTACTGAGCGACTATCAAGAACTGATCAATAAGTGTTGTCATGCAAACCACAGCTTATCCACAGGTAGTATGAGTTGGACTACACCTGAGATAATAAGTATGCGCCTGCTGGATGCACTTTTGGAGAAAAGTGTGAGCGTAGTTCAAGAGTTTTTGAATGATGATGAAAATCTTGCTCTTATCAGAGATCTCCCGCCAGCAAACCAGTCTTGGTTTGTGAGTAACGTCGTGTTCAAGCCATTGACAAGCAAAATGAAAAGCTTTGTTGAGAACCAAGAGCGATCAGTAACAGAAGTTCAAAGTTTGTCTGTTATTCTGCGTGACATCCCTGGGAAAGGAATGGTGCAGGATATGAACCAAGTTGATCTTTTTGAGGTCCTGGAAGAGGTAGCCTCCACAATGAATTTGTGAACCAGCCCCCCTATGGCCAAGTCCTTTCAATCCAGCTCACAGCTGACAGCTCCCAAAGAAGCTCTCAGTAAGAGATTGGCATTGCTCTTGTGGCTATCAGGTATGCTCATAACAAAGCTTCAAGAGGTGGTAAGTACATAAAGGAAACAGCAGACAAACATTGACAAAGATTGGTTTGTAGAATGGAGAGAAGGAGAGATGGATATGAGGTGATCAAGTAGTACGTGATAGTTGAGTTTGCTGGCATATATGCAGCTAGCAACATGGGCTACAATCTTGTTGCACATTAGTGTAACGGTACTGGAAACACAACGACTAAGTTGCAGTGTCACGGCCGTTGAATAACTTCTCTTCAATAGACCGACGGTTGACAAACCTCGGCTAACTTGACACTACAGCTTTGATGTCTCACCCAAACAAAAGGGTGCAGGCGTTGAAAGGAGTGTAACTACGGCATACTTTGACGTAATTACTCTATCTGGGGTCTTCTCTGATGGTGATGTATCTCGATTTGTATATAGCTATCTCTATCAATCTTTCACTACCGACAACAATCAAGGATCGCTGAAGAACTTCAGCAATCTTCTCAGCTAATATCATTTACTCCTCCTAGATGTTCACCCAACCCTCTTGCGCTTAGACGTACTTCAACACACTTCATCCAACTTTCCCGTGTCCCCAGCCATACTCCTCCACCTTCAACTAACTCCGCCTAACATCACCGCACTTCTGCTTCCATTTTCCCTACTTAGCCTAACTCCGCCTAACATCGCCGCACTTCTGCTTCCATTGTCCCTACTTAGCCTAACTCCGTCTAACTTTGCGGTACTTCTGCTCCCTTGTCCCTGCTTAGCCTAACTCCGTCTAAGTTTGCCGTTGTCACAGGGTTGTTTCTTCGTTAACTTCCTAGGACCAACGGCCAATAACTTCGTGGGCTTCAACCTTTAACTACCTCGTTGTCACAAAGCGTGTGACAAGTCGAGCAAAAGTCGGGGAAGGGTATTTAACCAGCGATCGGCGGTAGGGTTAACCGCCGATTAATAGGCCTTTTTGTCGCAGTGGTTAACATCACTGTTCCGTTGGGCACTGTTATATTGAGCCAATGCTGGTTAGTTGGTCCTCGTGACACTCGTTGTTTGAAATATGAAATAGGTGACAATAACTTCTGGGTGTAATAACTTCGTACTTTACTAACTTCTATCACTAAGACAACAACCAGAGATCGTCAAAGATCTCTGGGAACTTCGGTTCTTAAGTACTTCGTCCTTCCCTAACTTCTTCAACGCAGAACTTCATTCAACCCAAAGTCCCGAGCTTCGTACCTCACAAACTTTGTCCCCAACGAAGTTCGTGCCTCCCTAACTTCATATCTCCCTAACTTTGTATCTTCCTAACTTTTTATCTCCCTGACTTCACATCTCCCTAACTTCCCACATAACTAACTTCGCCCTCAACGAAGTTAGCCTCCTAATACCCTCGTGGGTGATGAAGTTCATGAGAACTGGATCGTTGATGGCAAACTGATGTTCAAAGGAACCTTGTTGATGGGAAAAGATGATGTCACGCGGTGCCGCGTGACAGCCGTACTTTGCTGTCCTTATGCTCCAGGCCCCTGTATACTTTATTCTCCCGTTGTACTTCGCCGTAATTGGTCTCAGATGTCCTGAGTTACATGTAGAGTAAAGAGGTTAAGACGTGATAGGGGTTTGATGGTCAAAGGAGGGTCATTGTTGGTGGAATAATTGAGGTGTCACAACATAGTTCGTGACAAATTACAGGTCACGTACAAACCCCCAAACTCTTGTAGACACCTCTTCATAGCTTTAGATGCAACTCTCATCCCCAACGATTCTCTGTTGAATTTTTGATACCTTGGTACGAGTACAAGCATGGATGAAGCACAGCACCCTCCTCATGAACATTTGATCTGGACCATGGATCATGACTGAAGTAGAGCCTCAGGGATTCCAGTACATAGTCTTATGCATCACCTTTGTCATGCAGTTGCCTTTTTACATTATTGGAGACGTTTCTGTCAAAACCGATGGCGTGGACGCCGACTTGAATGACTTCGCGGGCCTATGTTTCAGCCGCGGGCCTATTTGTCGTTTTCACTCCTTTCATCTTGCGCCCCCAAAACCTCAGCTCCAAACGTCATTCCTCCCGCCATGCCGCCTCGTATATACTCAACTCCAGCACTACCATTCCTTACTGTATCTATCTCCGCTGCTCTCTTCCCTAACTCCAGCTTAACATCTTCATTTTCCTCACTAGATACCTGTTAATCCTCTGGGAACATGTACGCTCCTAAGGGGTATGATTCCGATTCTTCCGACCCAGAGACGATCACTCCTCCCCCTTCTCCAAAACTCCAAACTAAACCTCATTTCTCTTTCCGTTCTCTCTTACCCACCTCTGGTTCTCTCTTTCCTCGGAAACTCTCAAGGCGTAACTCTCAGACTAGTGCAAAATCCAAACATGAGTACCGCAGGCAGAATACACCTAGAAGCCCTACGCCCCCTTTGGGTAAGAAGAGCGTACGATGGGGACCTGACGAGGAATTGAGTCCTCAAACGAGATTAAGACAGAGAGCTTTGGGATTATTTGTATCGCCTGAAGCTTCTCCCTCATCTACTGATCCATCTCCCACAGACGTACAAGGTCAAGTGAGACCAGAGCAGAATGAAGGGGAAGAAGTGAGGAATGATGTTGGAGAAGAGGTTTTGGTACTCTTGAGAAGACTGATAGCTGATAACGCTTCACGAAGAGAAGAAGTAACTACTAATCTTACTGAACCTTCTAATCTCCCTTATCTCAATACAGAAACTGAGCCTTCCGATCCGAATGAATCTCAACCTAGACCTTCACTCCGACCACCCACACCCGGACCTCCCAAGGTTGACGAAACGCCTCTGAAGGAAGTGGAGAAGCCGGTGAAATCTGACAAGAAGGACAGAAAGGAGAAGAAGAAACCAGAACCTTTACATGTTGTGAACCCCGACACAGGTCCTCACACTCCCAATCTACCACCGACCGACGGTAAGCAACATGATCTGAACGAAGAATATTTTGACTCTTCTCATCCTGCACCATCTCAGAGACCCAGTTCACATCCGCATCAATATCGTCCACAGATCGATCCGTACACCAACACCCACCCTCATCCCACAAGTCTGACTTGGCCAGAAGCGCATCCAACTCCATCGACCACACCTTCCCATCTCTCTCAGAGACAAGATCCGGGTTATTCGACACACCCACACACGGCACCTCCTTGGCAAAATACTTCTCAGTCAAATCACCCTATCGACCACCATATACCCTCCCCAAACCCATACCCCAATCAGCAGGATCTATCTCAAATGGTCCATGGTTCACCTTTTCATCCGAATCAACCTCCATATGGTGTTTATCCGCAACTCCCACCATGGCAATATCCACAATATAACCCTCGTCATGATTCATCTTCTTCTACCAACAGAAACAGTAATGGGTACCAAACCCAACCACCACCAATATACCCACATCCGCCAGCTCTCCAGCCTTGGCAGCCATACTATCCTCCAGCATACTACCATCCACTTCCCATTCCGTACCCTGTGAATGGTGGTAGACGGTCAAGCAAGGGAGGATCTCCAATGTGGTCACCGTTGGCCAATCCCTGGGAGTTACCGTCTTCCACCTCGGAATCATCTCCTACTGAGGAGGACTCGCCTTCCAGACGCAGACGTAGGCAGAGGAACGTAAACAATCCCAAGCCTACACAGCCAAGCAAACAATCGAGGGAGAGGAGAGAACGTCATCGAGATGGACGAAAGGAAGAATTTGTTTCAGAGCAATCACAATCTGAGACGGCCCGTGACGCGCCGAAGGCATCCCGAGAGATTGGGAAAGACGGAAGAGGGTCAGACAAGGAGTGGAAGAAAGGCATCGATTCCGACATCGGTGTCCCGGTAAATGACAGGATAATGTCCAGAAAGAGGTCAGAACCGAAGTCACTGCCTCCCCAGGGAACCAAAGAAATCGAAGCCTCTACACAGAGAATACCCGCGCTATATACTGATGACAGGCAAGGTCAGAAGCGCGTCGAGCAAAGTCCGCCTACTAGACCTTCCGAGGAACGTCCAATAACGTCAGAAAGTCCTCCAATCAAACAGGAACATGAAAAGGAACAACGAGGGAGCAACAAAGATCTTGTCGAGAGGGAGCGCGACAAAGCCATGCCCAGATCCCCGCCACATCAGACGTCGGAAGAACAGCTTGCCTGTCTGAAACGTAAACAATCCAAACTGTCGGAGACTCAGTCGTCCAAGTCCCCTGCTCCCCAGCCTAGCTCACTTGATGAGAGAGAAAGAAGTAGAGTAGCTGATATGAACCTCAAACACAGAGTGAAGGAGGTGGCAACTGGGAAGGAGGGGTCGGACAACGACGTAACGGCACCAAGGAAAGCAAAAGAGAGACCTGAACAAGGAAAGCAGCTTACCGAGCCAACAGAACAAGAGAAAGCGGCGTATCTGAGAAAGAAGGAGGAAGCTAAACGTAAGATGGCTGACCAAGCAGGCCCCACGGGATCTGATGAACCCACAAGCGAAGTGAAGGATAAGGGCGAAGAAAAACAGATGACAAAGGAGGAGAGAGAGACTTATCTGAAGAAGAAGGAGGAAACAAAACTTATGATGGCTCCCCAACGTACGGTGTCTGATGAAGCCACAAACAATGCCAAGTCGAAGGGAAGAGAGAGAGAGATGACAGAGGAGCAGAAAGAGGCATATATGAGAAGGAAAGTGGAGGCAAAAGATATGATCGCTAGGCAAGCAGGTTCTATGAGATCTAATGATGCCATGGACAGGCAGATGGAGATGACGAAGGAGCAAAAGGAGGCATATATGAGGAAGAAAGCAGAAGCACAACGTATGACGGCTCAACAACCTCGTATGGCCCCTGACAAGCCTGCTGTCGGTGAATTGGACAGAGGAAAACAAGCCGAGATTACGGAGATG